TCCCTACACATAGATAGTCATTGCTTTAAAGGAAAAATCAGTGTTATGTCTTAGGGCCAAGTTTCATTAGAATCTTTCTGTTTTTTAAAAAAGCACAGTCTAGGTTGGTTGTATTATCTTTATGTTTCCCCCTGGTCCTTACATAGGACTGATGATCAGATTTTTCATTTCTTCACATTTCCCATTTTCCAAATTGTTTAAAATCTTTCCCTCAGGCATCAGGGGATGTTACTCACAGCCAGCTGTATTCACAGGGCTCTACAGCACTGCATTACTCACAGTGATAGTTTCACCCTCAGGGGCTTCCAACAGCCAGGAGCAGCGATTCAGGTTGCTATAAGGCTCTGGGTAGTTAGGACTTGAGATAACTCCACTTTCACCTGACTGTATACCACCACAGGCTGAAGAAAAAAAGATAACACTTCCTTACATTTTAAAACTGAACACTATAAGCAATTGTCTGGAATATTATTCAGCTTGAAATAGTATTAAAACATATTTAAGTCAGACTGATACAGGTAAGGATAATCAATTCACTTGGGAAAATCCAAAATTTAAAATATTTTTCATTGAATAGTAAGTAAATACATTCAGTGACCTTGAAGTTTGTATTTATTCTGACACTTAATATAGCTTTGCAAAGCCTTTGCCAGTTGACACTTAGAGCTGCTGCTTCTACCTTATCTTCCATTTACTTATCTCAGTCTCCTAACCAAACTGGAGCCATTCCTAGACCAACACAATCAAGTCAAAAAGTTGCTGATGGGTCTAGATAACCACCAGGGCTAAATTCAGCTGTGAAGGGAAGAACAGTTGTGCTGGCCCGTAAATGGCAAAGTGGTGTAATTTGCACTGATATGACTTTGAGTGGGTTTCAAAATGAGAGCAAAGGTTCAAGCAGCAGACTGTGTCTCAGCCATGCTAGCATTCTGGAGGCCTATTTGAAGTAACTCAAACTTGGCTCGTGTTACCTGTTATGTTCCTATTCCCAAGAGCAACCAGCTGTTCTGAGTGTTGCACTGCATTGCAGAAACTCAAATGCGGTTCAGAGAACAGGAACAGTGAGGCAGAAAATAAATTTGAAATTTCAATTGCTAGCATATGTTTGCCTTAAATTGATATAAATAGTGGTGGCCCGGTGTAATTTTTGAGGATCTCTTTGAGAGCTGATCCCGTAGTGTGAATTCCCAGCATCACCAGATGGATGGCAACATTCCCCAGAACTACCTCAGCCACTGAGGGCAATAGTCAATCATGTCATTTACCTTCAAATGTGTAATGGGCTGAGAATCCTTTATCTTCTGTGTTTTCATCACTTACAAAGTGTACCCAGATCCAGGGAGCAGCTATTACTAGTGGCACAGATGGTGCGGCCTGACCACAGAGTCTGGCTATCAGTTCTCCATCAGCATCCTCTGAGTAAAAGAAGAAAAAATACATAGTTTTTGAATCCTAAAATAACTGCAGTAACTGGAAGGAATATATACATTCACATGAATATATGCAAAATAAACAAGGAACCATGCATTTCATTTTGTTTTGATTCTAAAACAGGAAAGTATATATTGTACTTAATAACTGATTATTTGTTTTATCTGTGTAGAATGCTGCAGTTCATTGGTGGGATCTAAGTCTCTAGAATCACGGAATTAATGTTCCTATACATAGGAACATGTTCCTATACGCTGAATTAATGAACTTTTTAATATCTAGGCCTCTTTCTGCAAATCCATACACCTTTATTTGGTATGACCCATCAGATGTGAAAACGCAGAGATTGATTTACAAAAGTCCGGGGGCGGGACAGTGGGAAGGGATGGCCTGAGGACCTGATCACTTGGAAGTCTATTGAGCCTTCTATTCATGACATCCTCATTAAAGTCAACAGGCATTTTGAGTTTTCTAACACGTAAGAATGTGCTTCATCCATGAACAAGCTTAGCCACTGCTGCATTAATAGTGGGCATCCCTCTTCCAGTGAGCTGAATATACAGTTTTGTATGGCTAAAAAACAAAATCAACACATGCTTGAATCATTGAAACCTAAAAGGAAAGCATGACAGAGGCAGTCGCATGCCTATGACTTTGAATGTTTGCTCTTGTCAGCACAAGCTTTTATCTAGTCGTGGTGGTAAAAGTAATCAGTTTCAGTTTTGTCTTCTCAGGGGGAGATGGAAAGTAAAGGTAACAGTGTTCCTCAAAACATCCAGGCAATGTCATTCCTAAGTCTGCTTCTCTAATAACAGCAGGATGCTGGTCTTAAATGTATGTCTCCATTCAAAAGCAACTCCTAGCTCCAAGCAGAGGGGCAGGTTGTTCCTGCAAAGAAGGCAGCAGAGCAGGAGCAAGACGCTTTGGGCTCTGTTCAAAGCCCTGTCACAGCTTATTCCAAGTAACATGGCTTAGTAGCTTCATCTTTCTGTCATATATAAGGACACAGCCACCTATTAAAATGCTTTGAAGTACTGGGTAACAAAGTTCTGTTAATGTAAATTACACAGAAAAATGTTGCAACCTGTCTTGTTACTGCATGTTAACAAGCACTAAAGAAGATACTTATCTGTACTAGCAGAAGACATTCATGATAAATTATTGTTTAGGAAAATATAGTAGCAATTACTTTGATTATTAAAGTGTGAGGTATACTCTTCCTTTTCTGCACTTCCTATGAAGTGACTGACTATGTGACAGAAGTGACCAAGGTTACACAGTCTCTTTCTCCTAACAGTGTGAAAAGGGCCGGGACACCTATCGCTGCTTTCATGGATGTCCACTTGGCCAATTCTTCTGTGAGATTTGGTTCAAACTGAAGGCAATGGTCTGAAAAAACAAAATCAAATATCTGCAAAAGCCAAAGACTGATCTCCTGAACCCAAAAGTAAGGTGCATATTTAACTGTAGTAACATGTACAGCTATACTAGCATGTACAAATTACATATATGTGGCTGATAATATAATAACTGAATGTTAAGCTTTACTCTATGAAATTTTAAATATGTGTTTTGCCTTTTTGGATTAAATATTCCTCAGTGAATACACAAAGTCTTTTCTGCCTTTTTATTTCATTTAACACCTGTGTGTTGCACAGGCAACTCAAAATAATTTTTTATATCTTATATTCATTCAGGATCTCCTGGGTCACTATGACTGAACTGGACCTTTCCTCAAATTCACGTTTGCCGTGTTGAGAGTTTCAAGCAGCATCTACTGGAGCTTAGTGACCTTCTGCACCATTTGCATCTCAGTGCTCGCTAAACGCTACTTGTGAACCTATACAGCAGAATTAGGGCATTCTGCCTTTGACATGAGACTGTTCTTGCGAAACTAAAGATCCATTTGTATGGCCAAAATCAACATTACTTTTCAGACAGCTAAACAGTGTGGAGCAAAACAAGACTACGTTTTTTCCCCTTTCCTTTGATTGTATTGCCTGGAGGCCTGAGGTTTACAGTGAAGTGAGAGTAGTGGAGATTGATGGGTAACTGACCAGATATATTTTATTAGCTATTCTCGATTCTCTTTCTGTTATTTCCCAGCTTCAGTGCATACATGGGAGGGAATTCTTAGGCTATACAGCAACACATGCTTTTGCTCTGGGCAGGACAAACCAAAGCTATGTGACCAAGAGCTCTCATTCAAATGAATGCAAATAAAGATGTAACTGATTCCTGCCCTCAATCCCCCCACCTTCCGGAAACAATTGCCTAGTAAATTAGAGTCTGCTCTCTCTGGGACTCACAGATACAGCCTCTCAATGAAGACGACAGCTGGAGCTTTCATACTACACTTGGCATTAGTTGAGCAATTTTCATACGACATTTCCAGTTGCTTGTTCTTGCAGATAGCTAACATACTCAAATATACAGAGACATAACTGGGGCATTAGTGCTATGACTGTTTTCCTCTTGAATACCTTAATCTATATTTTACGATGCAGTATCATGGGGAATACAGATTTGGTTTTGGAGAATCACCTTATAGTATACAAAAGTGGGGGTATAAAGCCCAGAGCCTGTGGATGATTAAAGCATTTTTTATTCCACTCCTGCTGCCCTGGGAGGCATCTCAGGAGCAGGGAGAAAATGCGCTGTGGACCAACTGAATTCTTCTGCTGGCTCCAACTTCTCCGTAATTGTCATCTTTCAAGGGAGAGGAGGTGAAAGTTCACGTCCTTTGTAAAGAGAGGGTCAGGTCCGTGTAGCAACCACCGAAACAATTTATTCCCCACAGCTACCTGTCCACTCTTGCTTTTTCCCCCCGAAAGAAAAGGTGACTAGATTCATGCATCCATTGCTCTGGCAGTGAAATCCCACTCCTGGTCTAGAAAGCATCATGGCAGGCGAATGCTCTTTCAAATGCACGTGTCCTACAGTCAGTGTTTCATATGCATGAATAAGATTGGGCACCAGCACAGTCACATAGCCAAAATATTGATAGGCTTAATCCATCCACCTATTGCATGTACAAACCTATTCGTAACTCTAGGTAGTCATACTGGCAGTCCTGGTGATGTTCCAAGTGGAAATCCTCAAAGGAGATATATATGGATGAATTGTAGTGGGAGGGGTTTTCAATGGTCCATTCACAGTTTAGGTTACTTGTGTAATTCTTAACACCATCATAACCAGGAGAAGAGAAATTCCCACCTGCATATCCAATAAGGGTTCCACCACAAACTGCAGAAACAAAGCATAATTTTTTTAAAAATAGGAATAATTTTGGTATGAACAAAAATCCAGCTGCCATTTCTTCTCATATGCTCATGTCAGCAGGCATATGTAGGGATTAGATGAAAACTTGCTCCATCTTCTTCCTTATTTTCAGTCTACTGCTGTGTACAAGAGAATTCTTGTCTACTTCCTAGAAGTTATTTGGAAGTCTTTAAAAATACATGTGTAAAAAGCAGGAAAAACAATTATTCCCAACATCAAATGAAATATTTCAGCAGCACCATCAATATAACAAGCATTATTTAACTTTTTGATAAAATCGCACTGTGGCTCCTGTTCAGCATTGCTCAGCCCTACCCATTACCTAATCCCAAACTCAAGGGAGGACGATTTCTCTGGCAACATACCCTCAAAAACAATACACTGATGCTACAGAGGATGTATGTGTATGGGGAGAATCAAGTTTGAAAGATTCAAGGCTCTAATAATAAGGCTCTGCCAGCTGTCTCCTCTCTGGAGGTTGGGCTTGCAAAATACGTTAGCTGTACTTTCACAAGCTTCAGTAAATTACTTAACCCCCTGAGTAATAAGCAAGCATGGAATTATTCAAACTGTCTATGTCACTATGTCTTTTGGATCTCTTCATGGCATAAGCCCACTTCAGTCCATCTTTTACTCAATACTAAGTAAGCAAAGACAATAAATCAGCAGTAGGAGTAAGGAGTATGATACGTAACAGAGGTTATTTTTCTTTCCATTTCAAGTTGGACGTAACAGGCACACGAAGTCCGTAACTCCCAGACTCCGTATTTTTTCAAGTCCTTTCAGCTAATTAAAGATACGTCATCTGCTCCCATTCAGACACGTATAACAGGAAAAAAAAGGCATCAGGGATTTGTTATTTTTCTAGGTCATTTTTTGACATGCATCAGTATTTTAGTTATGAAATGACTCACCAAAGATCAATCATTTGACGTTAATTCAAAAACAAACGGTACCTGCATCTTCACTAGACGTGTATGAGACACTGAAGCCTCTGGTCGTACCAGACATATCTGTCACCAAAACAATTTTCATTGTGTTTCCAGAGGATTTCACCTGAGTGCCTGGATTTATCTCGCCACACAGCTTGGCCAGCCGGGGGGAATTCTGTCTGAGGCCATTGTAAACCTGTTGGGTCAAAATACACTCTTATGAGATCAAAATACAGCGTTAGAGGCATCTCCTGTATCATTGAAAAATGCTTCGTATCTTTAATATGAGGTTCATTGCTGTCCCTTACAGAAGGTTAGCTCTATTCAAATCTATTTAAACCTTGGAAATAACTTCCATTGACTTGAATGGATGAGGATCTGAGGTAAAACATCAAAAATACACTGTGTATTCTGGCACACAAAACATATTCACTCTCTTTTTCTTTTAACCAAAATTGAAACATTCTCATTGGAAAACTATGCAGTATTTTACTCCAATGTGTATAGCTAAAGCTAATTCATCTGTTTGCACCCCTATTCTCAACAAATCGAAAACTAAACTAGATCTTCTGGTAGGACCCAGGATACAGATAATATGTAGGGAACTCTGCCTCACTGGAAGAGAAGGGCAAAGGAGGAGACGGATCCCTTGCTTTCACTTGTTGCAGCCTTTGCCTTAGTCTTCACAGCACCACACTTCACAGCACCATCTCCCATTTCTGCTGCTTTCATAAAGGAACTCTCTTTCTGAGGCTATCGTACATCAGCCCAGTTCCAGCTCTGAGAGCCTGGTTTGGTTTTTTTTCCACTGGGGCCAAATTAACAACAACCTATCAGTTTGGAGGTGAATGTAATGAAGAGAGAGAAATTCCTGGGTTTTCCTTGTCTTCCTTGCAGAATCTGTGAGGTACAGTTCAGTACTAGCCATTTGTTGCAACTCTGATTGATAGTCATCTTTTTTTAAATTTTAACAGCAGTAACAACCTCCAAACTCAAGAGAAACTTGAAATTTGACTGATGGTCTTTGTGTCCACAGAGAAGAGGTGTCTAAAGCTTTCAGAGACCACAAAGCTTTTTTTCCACAATTGATAAAGAGACAATTCCAATGACTTACAGCTATAAGACATATATGTGGGAAAACAGATAAGGTTCTGTCCTTGATACACTCTATGGGGATAGAAGGATTAAAAGGATTCAAGAGACCTGGATGCTAAAGGCTGACAGAGAAGGACCTAATGGTGTAAGGGTTGTATTGGGAGAACCCTGCAGCTCCTGTGCCAGAAATTACCTGGATGCCCAGGAGAGACTGGGGGAGCTGGAGATGCCCCTGCCCACTGTTAAATTTATGAAGTTGAAGCCTGATCCTCCAAATCCTCTCCTGTGCCTGCCCATGAATTCCAGAATGTCCAAACTCTAAAACAAGAACATGAATTTAGGCAACCAAGAGAGCTAGCTTTCTCTCATTATATCTGTTTTCTTTGGGTGAAATTATGATTAGTCTTAAAACCAGATGTAGACATATAAATGACATTTCAGCTGTGTTATTTCTGTCAGTGCCACATAAAAGGATCAGAAACAGCATTTTCTGCCTTCACATCTGATACTCACAGCCACATAATCGGATGAGCACCTCCAGTGCTCCTCAGTTTTCATATCATTAATGGTTAGGGTGACACGTTGGCCTTCTTCTACTGTGATCCTCCATTCACATATTCGATTATGCGGGTATAGGTTTGGATAGTTGGGTGAAGTAAATGTTCCAGAGGGGGCAGTAAAATCCCCACCACACTCTGAAATACCAAATATTGCAACATGTCTTTGAGTAGAGCATTGCTTATAGAGTTATAGCAAGAATACATTCATAATGCAAGAAAAAGAGAGCCCAAGTACTTGATTTAATATGCCTGTCTAGTCCATGTTTTTCTAAATAGCTGAGTTCCCACCAGTCTTTGCCACTCAGCCATAGAAACAGTTGTTACATTTTGAATGTTAATTGACCATAGAAGCACATTTTTGTCTGATTATTAATAGTCTCTTCTCTGAAGGGCTCATGCCAGACTTTAGGTGTCTTACACTTGGTTTCTCTTAAAATACAGACATATAATTTAATGGAGTGCAGTGGGAGAGTTGGTGCTTTTCCTCACCTTCACATACGCCTGCAGAATGCTCTAATCTGTTTATCAACCTTTGTTAAATTTTTACTGATACAGCTTCTTCTCTAGAGTTGCATAAGAGGGTCCTGTGAATGGAATAACATGCCTTTGGAGTTTTTTTCATCCTCCTCCTCCGCCTCTGTTATTTTATTGCAGAAGCACAGATGAAGGCTAAGGAAGCTTTCAGCTGAAATTTTAAATGAGATGGAAAGAGTTCCATAAGCTTGGCAGGAGATTCTTTGAGACCACCACTGAGGAGAATTTATTTCTTTAAAAGTAGCCAGATCTTGGTGGGACACATGTTGCATGGGTACTCAGGAACGTAAGGGAGAAGTGAGAAGCAGGACAAGGGCTATGTCCTTAGTCCTGATCAGGATAGAGCTCTTAAAGTCATTGTGTTTGTCCGGTCTTCATCACTAATGTTAAGTCTGGAAAGACCTTTTACTTGGAAAGGTAAAATCTCAAAGGAAAATAATCTGGTATGCTACATGGAATCTGTTAGGTAAGTGTGCACTGTCCTTCTGCAAGTCTACAGGTCGTTGGCAGAGATTCCTTTTTATGTAAGGGAACTCCTCGAAGGAGGTGAGTAAAATTCTGAGTGTTTACATCAACAGCTCCCTTTCTCCCACTTTTCCCCAAACAATTCATTTTGAGTAGGTGGTGTAGGGGAGAAGATTTCACTCCAAAATATTGATTTTAGGTGCTAGAGACTTAAGAATACCATCCACCACAGAGGTACAGAATAACATAATAAAAAATTGCAGCATTTCTTTAAACCTTTCTCCTTGACAAGAGGGATGTGGGAGGGGTATGGCAGGGCATCCCTGGACTGACTGCTGGGGAGAAAAGGTGTGGAAGAGTGGGTTCACGGTCTGAGACCAACTGTTGAGGGCAACATCCATTATAGCAGAAGACTGCTTGCCTCTCAAGGTATCAGCTAACTTGTGATCAGACACAGAATAACCCAGACACAGATTTGAAGAGCAAACATACAGCACTCCAAGAATAAGTGATCTAGAATGTGTATTACAATTACAGTGTCCAGTGTGTGCTGCATCCCTGATAGAAACTTATAACCTTATAAATCCAACCTTCAGCACTGGAATCAAAGCGCAGTCTGAATCCTCGGGCATTGACTGATCCATCAGTGACAAACTTGACATAAGCAAAACTGTCAGAGGTGTCCACAGCATCAGGGAGAGCATTACCACAGTACTTGCCCAATAGATTTCCTGCACAAGTCAAATACAGAAAGTCAATTTTTATCAAAGACAGTATTTGCATTTATATTGAAGGATCACTTTTCAATTTAGCTAGGTAGACAGGAGTAAACAAATAAAATCAAGTCATCACTGGGAAATGGAAGGGTTTTGTTTGCTTTGCTTTGCTTCAGCAAGCAAGGCAGACAGGAGCACTGTTCATTCTAAAGGCTCACTTTCTACGCAATGGGGAATGCTTTCTGGAACCTCTTCGGAGGTTTCTTTAGCAGTGTTAAGGAAGGGAAGACAAACATTGAAACAGTTTTCTGACCAGAGGCGTTATATTCTCGGATCTCCACAAAATCACTTGCACACTCGGATGAGTTTTGAATATCTAGGCCTTCTAGTCTGATGGTAAGATAGTGGCCCCTGGGTCCCTGCAGAAACCATTCACAGAGCAAGTTATCTTCATAATGAAGGTCAGGATACCCCACACTTTCAATGGTGCCAGTTTGTCCGATCACTGTTCCACCACAGGGAGCTGCAAAGGCAAGGACATTGCTTACTCTAAGGAAGGACCTCGGAGAGATGAGCTTTCTCCTGTACAGGACTTTAAGCTATGACACAACTGGCTTGTTTTGTAACTGAGGTAATACAGCGGGCATTGCCTTCAGATTCCACATTCTCGTCCTAATTCAATCAGTCCTAGTTTGTTTTTTACCATACATAGCCTTCCACTGTAAGCATCCCCTCTGACCTGTCTCTCACTAACTTGAATAAACTCGCAGATATCAAGGCCTATATCTAATTTCTACTAACATCCATATTTATCAGAAAAAAACAGCTCTTCTTAAAAAGACATCAAGCATGTCACAGTCAGTGTATGGAAATCTTTATTGGACGATTACAAAGAAATTTAGTTTGCTAAATACTGATCTAAATTTTTATGACTGACCAAATTTGACTGCTGGTTTGGGACTACAGCAGTAGTTCAGATTCCTCTTCTCTTTCTTGCTTTCTCTTCCTACTTCCATACCATTCCTTGTGATGCCTCAATAAGGGACCACATCACAGTTCATTTATTCTTATGTCTTGCCCTCTGAAAATTCATTTATTTGTGGTAGCTACCAGACGTAAGTTCATAATGCTAAGGCTTGGAGCAAATAATATTCCCTAGTGGAATATATTGGATTTCACAGTGTATTCTGTGTGTCTGCTAGCTATAATCTTTTCATGGCAATGCTGAAGGGTACATGCTCTCCTTGTACAATTGTGTTCATACTGCCTGCTCTAAGTGACTAGTGCTTTGTTCCAAGTTGACGGGCATACAGTTGAGGCAGTGAAACTCTTTTACAGGTAAATGTAAATTGTGGCTCAGCATACTGACAATATTTTCTTGAAAGTAGCTTCAGTTTTCACCTTCAGAGATATAATAGCACAATATATTTGCTTATGTGTTTGAGGTCTAACATGATTAACAAAATTCTGTGTAAAATAATATAGTCTAGTTCCTTGCCTTTGAAAAAATAAACAGTTCTAGACTCTCTTGAGGATAGACATGTGACACTAACGTAATAGATGCTGTTCTTTTAAAATTGTGAGTATTATGAATATTATAAAAAAGTAGAGTACCATATTTCTGAATCTGATCAGAGACTATTTTTTATTTCATTCTAAATTTTTGCTAATGTTTTCCTGTTTTTTCAGCTTGAAAGCAAATAACTGTAAAGTATTTTGCTTTTCCCAGCTCACAGATAATGATTCTTATCCCTCATTCCTTTTCTGCTCCATTGCTGTGCTTCTTCTGTCTAGCAGCATTGTTAATATGCATTGATTTACATTTACACAGAGAAGCTCTTAATTTATTCTATTCTGCCAGCTTTCAGCTGATCTTTGCATTCTCCTTCAACTTCCTACTCATGAAAGTCAACCTAATTTTGCATACTGAAAACCAGACCATACTACCTGATTTTATCCACCCTGGTCTTTTTGCTAGTGTCCCTTTGTCCCTTGTCTTTGACAAAGGCTTAACCCAGTCTTCGTTTCCATTACTGCAGATCTATCAGTATTTTCCTGTTGTGTTATAATTTGTATCTCTTATTAGGTGGACCACATGCTGATGTTAACCCCTATGACTCTGATGCCTTAACTCTAACAATAATTGAAAGAGACAAATATCTGTTAGACCACCTCTTGGGAATGATTTAAGCCCCATTACAAAAGCCTGGGACTTGAGACCTAAATCTTTTCTAAAATTAGAGAAATTGATAAATGCAAGTATTACCGATGGAGTATTTAGCATTGAATCCCACATGCGTGGCACCACTGTCCGACCTGAACCTCATATACATGACAGCTCCGGAGGATCTCTGCAAGCCTGGCATCGAATGTCCACACAGTTTGGCAAGGACAGGGGTGCTGGAGTCAGCACCATTGCGTAGCTCTAGGTAACTGAACGTACAGCTAGAAGAGGAGAGTTTTCTATTCAGTGTACAGCAGTAATGGCTTTAAAACATCTCAGCAACTACACAAACTCATGAAGCTACAATGATTTAGATCAGTTCCCATACAATGTGGTGAGGACAGAATCACGAAGTTCATAATCAGTGATAGTTTGTGGTAAGTTTTGAATCAAAAGAAGTGCTAGAAACATAGACAAAGACTCATCCCAAGCCCAGTCTATGATCTGATCAGACCTGACAAGAACCAGACCTGTGGGGGTGCAAACAGTGCTAATAAAGTAGTTGTAACAGTCTAACATGCACGTCTTTGCCAGTGTTCAGATTCAGATATTCCCTAGTAAGCCTCTTTGTTGACTGCTAAATTAAGGAACAGCTATAAGATAGCTGAAGGAAATAAATATTCAAAACTGGGGGCCTACTTTGGCAGGCACAGAAAGGCCCAAAACATCTTAACCAACAGCTCTGCCTAGAGAATGATGAGCAGCCCCCAGAAGACCTCCAAGGAAGCCAGAGAGGAAGGACACCCTTGGGATCCTGCCTCCTGCAGTATTTGTTCTGTATATGGCCTCGCAGGTGAGGGTCGCCTTTGGCATGTACTGGTGCAGCCCCAAATTAATGAAAATATCTCAGCTGGAAACCAGGCCTTGTATTTATGCTTCAGGCAGGACATGCAAAATAGGCAGACCCATTGCAAACCAGCAGGCAGGCAATGGAAGAGGGAGACAAATATTTTCTGGAGGTGACCCATTGGACCAAATCCAGTTCAGAGCCACAGTGGCTGAAAATCTAAAGATGAAAGGACTAGATGGCCCAGATTTTACAGAAAACACCTTCCTACCATGGCTTCTCCCTCTCTGCCCGTTACATTGATCTCTGCCATCCAATTACAAGCCCTGTGAAGCTATATGAATGACTTGATAGCATCGGTAACCTCTCTCAAAAATTTCTTAGTCATTCTTGATTGAAAATCTGGAAGGGAACTCTGGGAAGAATTAGAGAAAGTAGTAGAGAAAGAAGAATCAAAATGGAGTCTCTCAGGAAACACAGGTAAAATAATGTAGATATATACTTCGGTGAAGGTTCAATGTAAAACTGATCTTCAAATTGCAGTTCTACCGCATGTCCATTAGGAGCAGTTATGGTCCAGACACAGTCAGCATGCGGGGGATAATGGCTTGGATAGTTGGGGGAAGATATGTATCCAGTAGGGTTGAAATCATTGATATAAATATTCCCTCCACAAGCTGGGAAAGAGAAGATTACCAATAAAAAAACAGCAACATCTTAAGGAAATGGGTGAGGTGTCAAAAATATGAGTCATCACTATATTCAAACACAAGTTCCTTTTGGTGTCATATAGTCATGTCAAAAACAAATGCTTTTTGTATTCTTACTATGGGAAAACATTTTAATGCAGTACAGAAAGCTGAGCTTCTGTGCTCTTGCCTACCCAGTTCTCCTTCATTTCCACATATTCAGATCCCTCAATTAAACTGCTGGAAAGTTCTTCCTTGGACTGCTTTTAAGCCCAGCAGGAAACACACCTCTTGCCTTATTCCTACCCCAGTTCCCAAGAGCTACAAAGCCAACAGGTCAGATCCATCAGTTCTTCTATGAATCATTCCCTATTCCTGCTTTCCAAAAACTGAAATGTCTGTTTGAGACAATAATCAATCTGTGAGAAATGCCAGTCAGAGCCAACAGCAGGATTTGTTCAGGTACTTTATCCTACAAAAATATCTTTACTTTCAACTAGAAGCTTTCAGAAAAAGAAAAAAAAGGTTCTAACAATGCTAGTAAATACAGGGTTTTAGTCAGGCAGGCTTTCTAAGCTGAAGTGGTAGAAATATTACTGTACAGCTTCACCCATTCCCTTCATGCATCCACTAAAGTAATGCTAACAATGATTCTTTGCAGTAACAGGGAAAAGTAGGCAGAAAATAAGCACTTACAAACTCAGTTGGACTGACACGTTACCTTAGCCGTGTTTAGTTCACATTTAGTCATGGTTTGAAGGAGCACTCCCCGTGTCCCAGGTGGCATGCATCATAAATACAGCAGAACAACTGCAAGTGCCAAGTCCCTGATTTACTCTGGAACATGAGTCCCACACCTTTTCCATCCTTTCAAGAACGTTAGCTCCAACAGGGGATGTTATTTTCTCAGCTGAGAGCACAACTTGCAAGAAATGTTATCACTTTACTAGACGCACTAGCCTGAATCATTCCTGGCATAACTTAGCATTTGCACTGTGTACTGCCTATTGAAAATCATGTTCTTGTTTCCAGCTTGTTTTCCTTTCCTGTATGAATTATGAATATCTCTTTCTAACTTCAGACCCTGCCTCCCTCCTAAACAGTTCCCGATCAGGTATTTTTTTACTTTAACGCCTCCAGTTTCCATGAGCTGGAGCTGTCTCTCTTCAGAGAGGAAACAATGGAGACGAAGATCAGAAATCAAACACTGAAATGGAAAACAGGACATTTTTACAGATATTTGCTTTTATCAGGTTACAGTCTTTCTAGGTTGGGATTTATAACAAGAAACAAACCACTCATTTAAGAGAACAAATTCTAAGTTATTTCTATTGAGTTGCAGAACTTGTGTTTATTACCTAGACTTACCTAGACTCTTTGCCTCATATTTCAGTTTGAATCCGTGACCCTCATTGCTGCTGTCAGAAATGAACTGGACAAACAGCTGATTGTCTGTGGTGTACATGGTAGAGATGGGGCTGCTTCCACAAAACCGCCCATTCCCTCTTCCAGACCCCAAAGGTGGGGCAGCAGCATCTAATCCATTCCTCAGCTGAAAGAAGAAAAATTGCTAAGGTCACTCCAGCACACAGCCCTGAGCACATGCTATCCCAGTGCTTCCAGCCCTGGGGGAAAACAATCACCTCGTGATTAATTAATACACAGCAATAAATAAGAGAGAGGGATAAAAAAAAATCTCTACAGTATTTTAACTTCCTGAGAAGGTGGGCTCTCTTACTGACACCGAAATGTGTAAGATTTAGTAGCATTAACAGCTTTGAGGATTTGGGACCATATCCAATAACCTCACCTCTACATAATCCCCATGGTTGCAGGATGCATCCTCACTCTTAACCTGGAAAGGCTGTTCAAAATGGACAGCAATAATAAATCCAGAGGTTATCAGTACGTGCCAGGAACAATTCAGATTAGGAGCGTAGTCTTGAGGGTAGTTGGGGGATGCGATCACACCTCTGCCTGTATGCAAATAGCCTCCACAGCCTGAAAAAAAAAGAGTTGAAGCCAAGAAGAAAATATTAGCATTAAGTATTCAAATATTAATTTAAAAAAACTGTCTCCTAAAAGGAAGATGTGACAGATAAAAGCAAACATTGAAGCAAGTGTTTGAAGAGTTGAGGGACGTGCAGCAATGCACACAATGAATGATCTGCCAAATACAAGGCAGCAGGTTGCAAAATGACACACACGAAACATCTTCACACTGAGACGTGGTTCTCGGATTTTAAAAAACAAGTAAGCCGGCAGCTATGCCAAGGGTCTCCATGGCATGAGTTCTTTGCTTCTAGCTATGGACCAAACCACCATCACCACCACAAGCTGCAAGTCAGAACAATCTCCCCTGGCTGCCCACTGTTTTCATTTCACCTTCCTTTGTGCCTCCAGCCCGTTGAGGAGTATGTCACCTTCCCTGGGTACATGTAGGAGGAGCACCATTGCAAACTGCTGACATCCCTGTTGGAACTTACACAGCTCTCAGCATCCACCCATGCCTGGTTTGTGTCCATGCTTCGAATCATTCATTTCCCTCTCTTAGTTGGGCATTTGTTCTCTTTCACTCCTCAGCTGAGCGTTTATAACCTTCTTTAGTACATGCTATTCTTACTTCTGGAAAGTGATGGGCCTGGTTGGATCACGCTTTATTGTGTTATATCTCTGGGCAAATGGCAGGTTTTACCTTTGCAGAGTCAGAGATTTATGAATGTGTATTTGTAAGACACAAGAATAATTCATCTGTGTGCTTAACTGGATACATTGTAGACAGCTGTTAAAAATGCCATTAAGAGTAATTTCTTTCCTTACCCTGTACTAAGTAGCAAGACAGACACTTATGGCAAAGAGAAAGGAAACAACTCTTACTTTTGTAATAGGAGGCATTAAACCCAGCTCCAGTGACACTCGCATCTGACATGAAGTGAATGAACATCGTATCTCCAGTGGATCTTATTGGCCCAGGAGGTTCTCGTCCACATACAGTAGCCAACACTGGAGAAAGACTAGTGTCTCCTGAGGTCAAAAGAAGAAATGTTAGTGTTAAAACCAAATAAATTAAAACCTTCTTGTCAGTCGCGGTGGGTCTCACGCTTTCAGGCAAGCGCTTTTCAAGATCTTTAAACCCTCACAGACCAAAAAACACTTTCACAGAGCACCAAATATTTCACTAGACTTTAAGTGAACAAGCAGAAATTTTCAGCACATAAACAGAAAACTGCTTCAGAGCATGTTCCTATTGCTGTTTAGGTTACTTAAGATCAACGGACAAGAGAATTTTAAATACTGAGACGTTGGGTACCTATTTCATGCTGTCAGGGCAGAGCAAGATTGATATCTCACCATCTCGAATAATAAGTTGGTCATAGTTGCATGAGCTGTGAGATTCTATGTCTAAGGCCAAGATATTGAACTCCACAGTGGATCCAGGAGCTCTGATAAGCCATACACAGTCAGCAAAATTTCTGTAATTCATGGGCCAGCCCGGTGAGAAAAGGAATGAAGGTGTTTCTTCAGTTGTTACAGTCCCTCCGCATGCACCTGCCATGTACGAGGAAATAAAATTAAAGCAGCCTCTTTTAAAACTGAACGTTGCCCCATATGTACTGTAAGCTGACAGTCCTATCATTAAGCACAATGAGGACACAATGATATATGTAGTCACAGGAATGCATTCCTTTAGGCATTGCTTGCATTTGGACCGAGAGTACAAATTCTGAAATGCCAGACCTAGAAGGACGATAGTCCTTTGCTACCTGGTGTAGTAATGATGTGACCTATTTTACTATGAGGAATATCTAGGATAGGATCCAACAGGATCTAGCGCAGTTTAACAAAGGCATCGGTAAGAAAGGCTGCATACATAACCATGCAAAACAGGTATTGGTCAGCTGATTAGCTGGATAAACAACCTAGACCCTCTTCAAACTGAAGTGCTTTCCTTTCTCCATTCCTAATGTCACAGCTATGCGTTTAGGACCAGATGGAGTCCTTGATGGGTTATCCAGTGGCCCAATGCTCTCCCAGCACATAAACCCATAACATACTACTACTATCCTGCGGAGTCCCAGGGATCCTTAGTCCCTCTGCCCCCACCAGTCTGCCATCAGATTTAGAAACAAGACGTTTCACTATGTCCTAATTAGTCTTAACTTTCTCTTGCTTAACTTGCTCAGACAAAATGAATGATATAATAAGCACATTCCCTCTCCTTCCAGGAGCTATTTCTCAAAGAGATATATGGTCATACTGAACATATTCTCTCTATTTATGGTGCAGTTTCCTGAAAAGTTTCAAATCAAAAGGCCAGTGATTTAAGAATGGCATTTCAAGAAAGATACTTTTTTCATTGAAGTTTATTAAAGGTTTAGCTTTCATGAAATGCCAGTATAAAGAAAAATGCCCTTCCATCAAACAAAGACTCTCATTTTTAAAACAGTGTCAAATAGTATAAGTGAGTGTTCATACAAATTGTTTAATACAACTATTAAAATGTTTAACTGAAATGTCAATGAAAGGTTTCCCTCAATTAGTAACTAAGGGTTCTTCTTGTGGGGAGACTGGTTTGCAGTTTTCTTAGGTAAATCTCCGTACATCCCGGGGTATATCGCTTTAAGCTGTACACCCCACTAGAGACCAACCTCTAGCAATGGTGCGTGCAGCAGGAGAACCATCCACCGCCTGCCACTCCAAAAGAAAGCCCTTTCCACTCACAGATGAATCTGACTGGAACTGGACTGTCAGGGAGCTGCCAGAGGCTGCGAAGGAAGCAGGGACTGTGCCACAGTATGTTGCAATAGGGCGAGAATGAATGCTGGGCCCGTCATAAACCTGCAAAGAGGAGCAGAGAGGGAAGCTGCCATTCCTCGCAGAGGCAGCTTTTTATCCTTCCCCTACCCAGCAACATTTTGAGGAGAAAAGCATCCTCTTTAAAATGAGTGAGAAAGACATGGCTCTTTCAGCAAATCCCAGTTAGAGACCAATCCCTCTTTCTAAAAACAGAGCAAAATGTCCGTCGTATACTGCTAATTGTGAAGCTTTCACAGTAGAAGGACCTGGACAAAAGCCATCAAACTCAGCTCATTCCCTATCACAGGGCTGCTCTTTGGGGACACTGACAGGCTTCTCATGTGAAAAAATCCATTAATGCAACCTTGTGCTTTGCTGAGGAGAAAACAACACAATCTGCAAGAAGAAGGGATTAATTTTCTTGAATTTTTTTCTTTTATTTTTTTTCATGATGAACACATATATTTTAAATTCTAGTAAATAAATTTGTAATAAAATATTTTCATTCTATTTATCTACAGGCTAAGTTCTTAGTTAGTTAAAAGGTGTTTCTCTTTTGCTGTCTTTCCAACCTATTTGTGTTTTTTTTCTCTTTTCCCCCAAGAAAAGCATGTCCAGAAGAGAAAGCTAGGAAACAGAAAACTGACATTACATTGAAGGTCTGATCTCCGAGTCAAGTAAAAGGACCCAGGCTGATTCACACACTGAATACCTAGCTGATTTGAAAAGACAGTCTTCCTCTCAGAGGGCTGGACAAAGAAAGCCAGACAAGCAGGAAGAAAGATGCTGTTAAAACCTGGCATGAGCTGAAAGAATTTACATTTCCTTTTCGAACTAATACTAAATTTGGGCATTAGCAAATTAATAATGAATTACATCTGAATATTCTGGACTAGGATTAACTTTTTTTCTTACCAAAGAAGATGAAAGAAAAGGATGATTTTTGGATCAGCTGGTAGGAAAACAAGAAAGAGATTTACCTAATTTACCTAAGTAGCTGTTTACATAAGGCTTACCTGTACTGCTCCATTTTGCTTAGGACCGTGTTTACTGTATTTTTAGCCTGGAAAAGGCTAGACTGAATTTCAGAAGAGAGAGGGGAGAAATCATTGCCCAGTGGGGGTTTTGAAGCACATGTAGGCTTTTAAATGGCCTTATTTCTAGAGGTTGGGCTGATATGATCACTATTGTCCTCAACTGAACCATTACAGAGCAAAGTTCCGTCTTTTATTCTGGCATCTGACTTGAAATTCTCAGATTTAAAATTTTTTATGATTGTAACATTATGGACTTGTTTTTAATAAGTTTCAAACTTCCAGCTTGGAAATATCTGTTAGGCAGCCAAAGAGCACGTTACTCTTCCTCTAGCTAACAATTAATGAAAAAATGACACAGCAAAACCAATGAGCCCCAACCCGATCTGTGGAAATCCTTCCTGCTTCTATTTTAGGCTCCTCCATTCAGTATTTTTATCAAAGTTAATTAAAATAAAAGAACTTTTCACAATGAAATCACCTTTAACTTGTCATAATGGCATCTGTAATGATTTTCTATATCCATCTGCAGGATACGACCATGGATAACTTGTGAAGCGTTTACACTTATCCGCCACTGGTAATTGGAATTGTGAGGGTAACTTCTGGGCCACTGCGGTGAAGCTATTTGTCCTCTATTTCCCACAATGTCATTTCCATACACTGAAAAACAAGAAAGAGACAACAAATGCCTCTAATTCGCATAGATTACATGAAGTATTTGTGGCCTAGGCCTGGAATATAGCTCTCATTTCAGCCCTTAATTTACTTAGGACACTTTGAGGCATAGACTTCTGTCTCAGATAGTCCTAGGGTGCACACCTAATTATTTCCTTGGGGTGGCTGTGAAGCGTACCCTTATCTGAAGGAAATTACCCCTTCCAGCCATGCGGCTCTGCTTGTAGGAGAGATGGGCAGATCGCATGGTTCAGTTCCCCCCTCCCTCCACTTACTTCCTGCTCACTTGCTCCTGGGAAGCATTAAGTAAGAAAATGATTTGGTGCATTCTGAGGAAAAATGGTTTTGACTTGACTGAGCTATGACCTATTGAAAATTCCTTTTGAAAATGAGTAGTAAAAGTCACAAAGTAAGGAAAATGGTTGGAAGTTTAGCTGGCTTAATCAGAACTGCTGCAGATGTCTAGCCATGTCCTCAGGAGCCTGCCTGCTTCGTGCCGAAAGTCAGACTGAACGTTTGCAGTGGTCCCTGGCAGCTTTGGGTCTAAGACCTGGCAGCATTTCCTTCTCATTCTGCTCCCTGATTAACATCATCTAGTTCCAAAACAGAATATAGACATTGTCCTACTCTAAAAGCAAAATGGAAATCTGAAAAATAATTTTTTTTTCTTAATTTGTCAATTGCCTAATAAATGCCAACATAAACATTGAATATGATTGCATATTCGCAAGTAGCACTGACATATGGTCAGCTATTTCTAACTCTAAGGCTACTGGTAAACTCAGATTGCCATAGAAGCTTTTGGCATGTAGCTCTTACTTGTGTCTTCTCAGCCCAACGTTGCTAAAGGAGGAATCTGAAAAACAGGTGATTAACTGAGGAATGCATTTAGAAAATAGTCAGTGAAATAGATAACACATTATATTTTGCCTAATCCATGGAATTTGTTTGCTTCTAGAAGGATAATATGATTCAATTTGAATAAATGGTTTGTTATAATAATTAAAAAGATAAAAGTTCATGTCTAATTCTTCTAATTATGTGAATACATATACATATATATGTGTGTGTTCTGTTCTGATATGTTTTAGAAAGAGCATCCCTCTAAAGTTTAGGCAAGTATTTTAGAAAATATTTTCAAGGGAAATCACAGCCTTGCTGATCTCAACAAGAATTGTCTAATATACTTTACAGGGCCAGGTGTTCACTTTTTTGAATCCTTTTGCAAGTTTTATGAAAGAACAACAGTTTTCAATTAAACAACATTTACTTACAGTGAGAGAACGTGGCCCTGAAGCCACCACCAGTGCCGAAGCTGTCTGAGACAAATTTAAGCCACAGGACATGTCCAACAGTAGATGTATAATTTAAAGGCAAGGAATTGCCACAGAATCGTCCTGCCAGCAGGCCTGTTTCGTTATCTTCCCGAATCTCCAGGTAGTCCTTGGTGCAGCCGTTACTCTGTTCCACATCAAATGCCCTGTTCAATAGCAGTAGGAGAGCATCAGCAGACGTGTGATTGAAGCATACTTCAGAGTTTGCCCTGCCATGCCGCAAATCCCCCTGTGGCTGGTGTTGGGAAGACAGCAGCAACAAAGCCCTCCAGAACCCAGAAATCACTATGCCTTTCCTGGCAGTGCCGCCGATACACGGCTCACTCCTTTCTGGCCTCTTACCTCATGAGAGCTTCAGTTGGCAAAGCTGTGATTTTTGAAGAGTTCTTAAACACTTCTAAAGATGTGTTGGTGGTTCAACAACATCACCGAAACTTAGAAAGTTTCTGACATACGAAACAGATTTTTAATATAAGGCCAGGTTAGATTTTAGCATCCATTGGGTATAGAGAAAACTTTTAGCCTTACAAATCAGTTTGCCAACCCCTACATGTGTGCATTATTTCATTACACTCTCTGATCAGAAAACAATTTCCAGATTCAGTTAACCCTTGAAAGCTCAAAAATCTCTAAGCAGTTTCTCCAGAATTATGAAATATTACTGCTCCTCTGGCTTCTTTGTATTTCATGTGACTGATTATGAAAAACAAGAATTGCTATAGACTCTTCTAAACCAATGTTTACCTTAGAAAATGAATGGGATTTGGCAATCAAATAACATGTTTTCAATTATTGCACCAAACTGAATGCTAAATAGATTATAAAAATCATTATCTTATGATTTCTAAGTGAAGTTATTCTATGTGAAGTGTTTTGATTCAATCCAATATACTTTTCAGAAGTTGGCCATAAATACACAGTAAAGATTCCAGAAAGTGCCTCTCATAACTAATGCCCCAAATATTTGTGCTTTCTGATTTTCTGGTAACAACTCCTCCTCTTCCTTCAGTCCTGAACATAGCCATATGTCTCCAGTGTACAGACTGTCTTTGAAATGGTTCCAACCATTCATCTGGATATACTTTAGACTAATTTAAAGCTAACCCTCAACTTGCAAGACAGGCATTTTTGTCAGACTGAGCTGAAGAAAATGAATATCTCATGCCAAAAAAACTTTATAAAACCCCAATATTAAACTAAAAAAAATAAATACCTCTTTCTAACACAATGACTCCAGGTTTTTCAGTTGAAAGACAAGCTGAAAAACACTGTGTAATTGAAGAAAAAGAACCTACATCAACTCAGTATCACTTTATATGTCTGAATATGTGTTCTGCTGACAGTTTCTGTTTTGGTTCTGAAAAGCTGAGATTCGTTGTTTTGTAGCAAATGTTTTGGAAAATGTTTTCAGGCTGTAGTACTTATACTCTGCTTCAGTGAATAAAGGAGGACTATAATGTAATTTTTATTGTGTTAGTGAGCCAGTATGTGCTTAACAAATTGCTCCTTATGCAGTTGGCATATTATTGGACAAATTCTCCTTTTGTCCTGATTCACTGTAAAAGCAGATTCAGAATCACTTTGCTTTTCTTGCTGATCTCTGATCAGCTTTGCAAGGGAACAGTGCTCTCTTCCTTGGCCCCAGCCACTGTTTGATGCTGGGAAACAGAGAAGCTCAGAAATCCACATCACGGTTAAAGAGCAACCTAAGCACCCTGCTAAAGGACTCTGCATTGTTCTGTGGATCACGCATGACTTTCCTGTCTGAATTTCTTCAAAGAAAATTTCTTTGCTGCAGGGAAAACGAAATTCCTTGATGTACTCCCTTAGTCCCTGTTGTACCTCCACTACTATACTTGTCCTTGTTGTTGGAGTAGCTCTGAAGACTTTGATATCAATTCTATCGCTACAGTCTGTGGAGCCCTTTACGTTAATCAGCTGTATAATAAACAGTATGATGAACCTGGCAGTAGGGAAATAATAGGAACGTCCTTTGTGGGGAAAAAAAAAAAAAAAAAGGTGAAGTAATGCTAAGTTTCTTCTTGTTTATAAGTGAGTGAGATCTGGCTTCTTCAGCATCCCATGTTGCTCGAACAATAAACCACCTATTTATATAACGCTGTATATGCCTTAATATAAGCAATGACTAAGAGAGGAGAACATTGATTGCAAGCTGCCACCAGCCACTGCTGTGTTCTCCTTCCAAGTTATTCTAAGAGCATGTTTCAGCTTTATCGTCTGGTAATTGCATTTCCTAATAAACACAGAGCATCCTTCCTTCAGCTCCATTAAAGGGCTGAATAATAACCCCCGGCAATGCATTTACATGAAGGACAGCTGCAGCCGGTTGCCAGGGGAGCTGAGAATCTTCCAGACACACTCTGTGTCAAGAGGATACGGCTGGGGATAGCCAGGGCTGCTGAAAGCTCCTCTCTCCATGTGGAAAGCACCCCCGCAGGCTGCAACGAGAAGGAGACAGCAGAGGCTAGAAAAAGATAACACAGAAAAAATACTTTGAGAGGGCCAAAGAATTTGCTAATCAGGGAAGCATTTCACCTTGTTCTTTAACTTGGTGATCTCCTTGCTCAGACCACGACCAAAAGGAGAGTTAGGGAAATAGCAGAGTTTAAAAGTGGTAATGTCAGAGAGCCAAAGAGATACAGCATCTTTTCCTTTTCTTAAAAATCAGAGACATAAGCTAGCAACAGCTGCTCTTTGGACTTACATGATGATGATGCAGCATAGGTAGCATGAAAGCCCCTGGCAGTAACGTTGTTGTTGGAGATGAAGTTCACCACCAAGGCATTACCAAAAGAAGTGATAGGATGTGGCATAGTAGAGCCACAGTAACGGCCTGAAAGAGAAGAAGCCAGAGAGAAAAATGAAGCGTTCAGTGTATAGTTACTATTGCTAACTTGACATTTGGGATTAACTCCTGACAGCAGCCAGGAACAACATTTGTTGCTCACAATTGCAATTGTAAATTAAATACACACAAATATGAAATAGCCATATTATTAGAGAGCTCAGTTCTGGTGGCGACATATTTTTTATCAGATGAAGGATTTGAACATGGACCTCCTGCACTTCAGGCACCCTAATTACTGGCTATTCCAACGATGAGGTCTTTTGCTTTCACTCTGCCCAGAAAATACAGGTTACTTAGAAAAAAAAAAATCCTAACAAATACATGCACCAATAGTTTCTGTTTCACTCTGTTAGTTTCTGACGAAAAAAAAGAAGCAACAAAAAACAGACTCCTGCAACGGACTATAACATGGGGGGTTAAGTATATGAAACATGCTCCAGCAGAAAGGCATCCGACAGAAGAGAAAGATAGGTGCTAGTGCCCTAGTCCTCTTGCCTAGCACGAGAAGCAGAGCAAAGGCCCAGGGCAGGAGACAAAGAACTGGAGTCTGCTCTCAGTTACAACCCATTTAAATAGAGTGTAACCCCACTCCTGTCAAGGGAGTATATACGAAAACAGTGTAAGGGAGAGCAGAATCAGGCACAGCTGTTCTGAATTTCCCAGGAGTGAATTTGAGGCAATGCTGGGAGTGTGAGGGGAGTCAGGATCGTGCTGTGGTCAGGGCTGCCTTGTGGTTTCCTGGCAGTTTAAGCAATGCTGCATTTTGCTGCTCCTTACATAGGGAGGTGATGGCTCTGGGCAAGAGAAGTGAGTAGAAAGCCACAGAAAAGTTAGAAACAAGCGGAGTGGCAAGCTTTCTGGGGTGTGAGGGAAGTTCATTTTCTGCTCCCAAAAACTTGCAGCTTTCTTCACCTGTGTATGGTGCGGACTGAATATGGGTGAGGGTCACGTTATATCCTTGGACAATCAACCTGAAGAATGCCATTTAAACTGAATTGCTCAGTTCCCCATTGCAGAGCCTTCTCCTTCCTCCCTCCTTCCCCCCCACTTCCCATAGCGTCCTGCTGAGGAGGAGGGAGGCTGCAGGATCAGCTCCACACCACAGGTCAGGAGGGATGCGCTTGGCAACTTGCAAGGACCACACAGGGCACACTGAGGATTTTCCTCTAGCCAGGGTCTCCTTGGCCATTGCTGCCATGGGAACTCCCAACGCCAGGGGAGGCCCATCAAGCAGGAGAAATGTTATGGAAAACATTATTCTCCTGCTTACATTGTGTGTAGTCCTATCTATGAAAAAAACAAGGGAAATGTGCAATACCTCGAAGAGGAGCCTCGTAGTTATTCCCATCCAAAATCTCTACAAAATCCGTTGTACAGTTTTGCCTGTTGTTTTCAATATCAAAATCAGTGAATGAAAGCGTAACGTGGTTGACTGGCAAGAGAAAAGAGTAAAAGCTTGAAGAGAAGGAGGGCATTTCACAGATAAATAATGGCATGTAACACACACTGAATTTCTATGTTCTGTATTCATTCTAGGACAGTAGAAGTACCATCTTTTCTTCTCTCCTCTGAAGTCACTCAGTTAAATAAATTAGTGTCTGTTATTGGACCATAAACCATAAAATCTGAACTAATTTAATTTTTGATATGTGAAGTGAACCTGATGGAAATTCATTAATCCTTACTGTAAAAGTCTTGGTAAATCTCTTCATATTTCAGTACTTTCTAGTTTAGAAGTGTAGGATTTAATGCACACATGTGAACCTAAATTTTCCAACAGATGAACAGCTTCATTATTTAGTGTAAATGTCACCAAACACAACATGGAAAATTTACACACATTATAATTGAAAAACAAAACTTACTCCTATGCATCCATAACCTCTTGTCCCTTTGTGATCTATATCATAGATCTGGACAAAATGTGAACTGACGCTGCCCTGCTCCAGGCTCAGAAAGAGCTGGGTCTTTCATCGTTTGGTAACCTTCCACATACATCAATTGGACTGGTCAAAGGATCATTAACTACCCTCAGCTATGTTCATATGGAATTGGATTTTCCACACCCTCAGACTGTAGGCTACAAGCCGAAAAAGCGGATTTCTGACTCAGGGTATTTTGGACTCTCATATTGCTTTAGCTTGTTTAACAGGAACAATGCTAAATTCATGAATGGAAGAACAGAGGCTTTTCTCAAGGCCCACTAAGTTTTCTCCCACATTGACCAAGTTTGAATTTGACACAAACATTTTTATTTCTCACTTGGCTATGATTAATTAGCTAGAATAAGCTGAAATCATGAACATGGACCTGGTGCTGCATTCAGCAGGGTGCCACTGACTTCAACCCTATAGCCTGTGGGTTCAGTCCTCTTTTATGCACCAGGCCAGTTAATCACTTACAGCTGTCAGTGCCTCAAGATGTAAAATGAAAAACACAGTGGGTGGTGAGAGCAGGCTTGTTGGCCCTCTCAGCAAAAGCTGAACAAGAACTCTCTACTGTGGTTTGCAAGGGCTAATCTACTGCATATGGCTATGTTCTGCTATGCTGTGCGGTGGCGCAATAAGGCCATGTGTACCTGTAATATGTGTAGTATGTAGTGGTGCTTGTGATATATGGAGGAAGCCTCTACACACATAGACTACTTCTTATCTATGATGTTTGTGTTCTGTCACACTGATACAAATCAGGAGACAAGAGCTATGTATGAGCTTTCAACCTAGATCCAGGAAGAGACTGTTCTTAAAAAAATTGTTGTATAGGTCAGGAAGAGCTTTGATGATGTATTTTTCATGTATTTGTATAAGAACCTATGCTTAAAAATTGCTTAACATCTCCTAATTTTTGTTTTAGTGTTCTCCTTGGCATACTGATTTTCATTTTATAACTTAGCAAAATAAACTTATAAAAGTGGTTGGAACATTCTATGATTTTAATAGCAATGGATAGATATCAGATGAACAACAAATATTCATTAGTCACTGGCAAAAATAAACATTTACTTTAACTGATGTTACCAGGATACTGTAACTTTTCACAGTTGTACATATTTTTTAGGAAATCTTATACATTGCAAAAGTAATACTGGGTATCCAACGGAAAATGCTGGTGTTTTAACATAAATCAGAAATCTGTCTAAAATTAGAGAGAAACATTTGAGAGTATAGCTACGCACACGAGACTAGTGTATTTTTGTTCTTTTTTAATTGTATTTTAAATCAAAATACCTCCCTACCTTTTCTCATTACTTGATAGTAATTTTATTTATGTTAACAGCATACATCTGAAATACCACAACTCTAGCCTGAAAAATCCAGACCAAAATAAGGTCAGATGTGTGTACATATATATGTGTATATAACATTATATTAGACATTATTCATTATGTATTATATATTATGCCTTATGTATAATAACACATAAGATTACGTAATATAAGATTTTCCAACAGATGATTCCAACTTCAAATACTATTCAACACCTCGTTTAGAATTCCAGCACTCAGGTCCCAGTAAATCATCTAAGATGACAAAGTTGTAAACTTTGTTTTCCTCACTATGCCCTAAATCTTTCTACAGTAAAATCTGACTTAGGACAAATTAGGAGAGCCACACTCTCTCCAGCTACCAGGATGCAGAACTTCCTAGAGAAATAAAGGAGGAACTTTGTATTGTTATTACAGAAAAAAGGGATGAGGATATTAGTCACGCAGCTAACTATAAAAGATGTTTTTACTTACATGGTTCCTGAGCCTGAATAATCCAGCTGCAGTTCTGATTGTTTGGGTATTTGGCAGGATACAGAGGAGAGGAAATTGCTGCCCCAACTGAATCTGACTCAGTGAAACTTCCACATGCTTTAGAATGAAACACATATATACACAAACACATATATATATTTATATATGTATAAAACATGTATCTTAGATACTGTAGTGAAAAGGAACACATAAAACATATCATGCTGCAGCAATGTAAAATGAGGGTAAAATTCATGACAAGAACTTGAGGGAAGTCAGAAAGGCTTGGGAACAGACCTTGTCTACATCAGTGCCTCATAGCTCAAGAGAGCAATCTTGGGGTCAAAATAACTTGAGTTCAGGGCAGTCCAATCATCTATTCATCTACATCTATTTCTCTGATCATTTGCCTACGTTGGCACTTAGGAAGGAAAGGACAGTCAGAAACTCTCCAGAACCTGCCCGTGCCCAAGGACTGCAGCACATCACATTGGCGCGATCCTCCTGTGAGCTGGATCAACAAAACTGCAACTCTGTGAAATGCTGCACATATGCAAGAGCTTAATCCACTATGTAACTTTGGCCAGCAGTACTGAGTGCTGCAATGCTTAATTTCTAAGCATGCTGACTCTTCATCAAACTCCCAATTTGGAATTTAACACCCAGCCGCTTTATACATCAGAGTGGGGAGTTAGGTATCAAAGGCTGGGATCCACACCTCATGCTGTGCTGCCATCCAGCAGGGAAATGGGAATTACAGGGTCTTTTCAGGAAGACAGAATCTGAGCTGCCTCCATCCCAGGCAGAGAGCTCTAAACACCGACTCACCAGTTGCTTTTTGTGCAGGGCCTGATCTGGTAGATGTGCTCTGAGAATATTTAGCAGGTTAGGCTCTCTTGGCTGGTAGTCCGAGATGCTGAATTAGGCATGTAGCTGGAACCTCAATAATTGGGGTTGTCAAGATTTGGGGTGCTTTTAAAATTTTACTGATGAAAATTCCTTCTTTTCTTTACAATTTTTCACAAAATTTTCAAAGAAAAAAAAAAGCTTTTTGCTGGGAAAAGTGCTAACATATAGTGAAAGAATCCTAATAAAAAAATGAGAGAAGGGGATTTTCTCTACAAAAACTAAATGGTTGTATCTTGGGGGGGGGGGGATGGGAATTGCTTTCAAAGTTATTGTGAAAAAAGAAAGAAATTCAACAAGGATATGAACTTTCTTGAAAAATTTTGGCCAGCATTTTTCATTAAAAAAGAAACCATGGAAAATATCAATCCACAAATTAGATTATTTCTGTTTGACGGGATTTGCAGGGCAGAATCCATGTGCTTCATGAACAGCACAGCACAGCACAGAGTTCTTTCATGCCTTTTCAGATTCATGAGCATAGAGAGAGATATAAAATGTTAGTTTGCCATTTTCTTTGTAGAAACTGCCAGTTGCATATTTTTCTCAGGATACATATGAGTAGTTAACCTCCAAGGCAGGAGGAATAACAGGCAGCTGACATGTCTGCTAGATGGCTTGCCGTAGACAGCGTTTTTATTTTTCCCAATTTAAGACTCTAAGATGATCCTTTGTTTTAAATTCTTTAATCTATAATTTTGCAAAATTCAGTCCTGTTAAAGATATACACTGGTATACTGCATGTATAGAAGCAACACTTTCCATTATAAGCTGTGCGGAAAAATTGTACCTGATACAGACTAACTGGTGATTAGACAAACATGTGTTTGTGTGAATGAAGAAACTACCTTCAGTAAAGCGAGCACTGAAACCCCTGTGCTGGATGGTTGTATCAGAGCTCAGTCGGACGTACATCAGGTTCCTGGAGGCTGTGATCGGAGGAGGAAGCTGTCTCCCGCAGAGTTTTCCAAGAAGTGGTGCTTCACTGCTGGGGCCATCATACACCTGCCACGAGCAAGTGGAATGAACTACTGGATTTCAATAGGAGTATTGAGAAGATTTTTATTTTGTTCCCTCTCTCATACCCTGTTCATACGCTTTGATCCTGATACAATCCTGGCATTAGCAGCACAAACAAACTATGCATTGCCTAATTTAATTCTGTGACTATTTCCAAAGAATGCCGCCATTTCAGGCTGAAGCTACTGTGGTCTTTATAGCAAAAAAGCATAATGTAATCCTTTTATTCTGTACATGTCTCGGAGGGAAGCAACTCCACTTGAACAACCCAGATATCCTCATACATTTTGTTATCGTTTCCTGTTAAAGGCTAATATGAGTTCTTGTGTAATTTTTATTCAGTTAAACCCTTAATCTTGCCTCAGTAAAGATTTCTGTATCAGCTCTAACATGCCACTAGTGTATCAGTGGGTCTATGACTGTGTATAAAAAGAGAAGACACTTGCGTCAGTGTTTTTACATGTATGTACCCAGTATTAAGCATCAGGGTCCATGTATCTATGCTTTACAATAGTTTTAGGGAGCTGAATTAGACACATATCTGAAGTATCATTTAGGCAGAAGGCAAAGCAGAGGGAAAAGAAATGTTTGCTATCTCAACACCAATTGTGTGGAGCCTGCAGCAAGACAGAGTGATGTATATGTATTTGAATGCCTATATTTTGCTCACTGTAGCTGAATACATGTAGCTGAATGCAAGTATGCGCGTGTTTGTATTTTTTAGATATATACACATGCACACACAGACATATAGTTAAGTCTAGCTAAATATACACATATAATATAATTAGCTGAACAACCCAAAAGGGCTGCTTAAGAAACAACTTAATGGCATTTAACATTATCCTAAGTTGTAAAGCACAATGCACATAAAGTCATTGTGCACAGTAAAAAGGAAGGAACGAAGCAAAGATGGTTGTATAGAACTTCACTTTAATTTTACCACAAATGCTTTTCTTCTCTTTTTCTTTCACAGCTGCTAATTTTGTTTCCTTTCTTTTAGTTTCATAAAAGAAGAGAACCATGATACCCATCCATTCAACCTTTTCTTGTGGCTTGGCATCCCACCACAGCCAGCGTTCTAATACATGTGCAATGTTTATTTTTACCTTGCACAAATATTCTGTATATTAATCAAGCTGCCTGGAGTTAAAAACCACAAACCGTGGAGTGTGGAAAAAAAAAAGACTAACGAAATAACCCTCAGGAAATAAGACACTGATAGTCCCTAGAGAGTAGTGAGAGGATTTTATCTGTGCACTAAAACTGAGAATAAGCACTGCATTGAGGGAGAGTAGAGGGAGAACCCGACAGCAGTTAATGTAAACTGCTGGTTTTGATGGATCGGTGCCACTCAGCACAGCTGAGGATCTAACTGTTGACATGTGGATTTTTATGAGACTGTAGTAACTGAGCTGCCTCACTAGAGAAAACATTAAGGATTACTAACTTGAGAGACTAAGTAGACATTTCATCCCAAGAGCTTTTTGGAATATAGAAGTCTTTCTATGTTAATGCTAAGAAGAGCAGAGAGTCGGAAGAATGTTTTCTAAATCAAATATATTTGCTGCTTCTAGGAGGTTTGTTTGAAGTTGCAATGTCTGAAAAGTAATGATGTCTCCTCTTTCAGAAAACTAGGAATGACTCAGCCTTTATACTTGCTAAAAATCTGATTCAAGCACCAGCTCAGCATAAGTGTTACTGAGACGTAGCGGCATCTTAACAGTTATGGCAGCTACAACTTAAGCAGGCGCAGTAGCACGTATGTACTTTCTGGCTGCATCACTGTTGCTCACCTGCTGTTTATTAGCTTAAACTATTTTGTAGGGAGGATTTCAGTCTTGAGTCTAGATAAGAAACCAAAATATTCACTCACTAGTTCAGGGAATAGTTGCATCTCTCCATAGCGCCTTAAAGGTGAAAACATCTGAGAAATGCATTCCTGTGGCTGCACGAGTAAAGAAAGATGATGCATCTGCTCCTAAGAATTTTTTTTAAAGTCAGATTTTCTTTTGTGTTGCAAGCAACAGCAATTTGCTCTTCTCTTCTCTTCTCTTTACACAATGAACACAACTGAGTGATTCATCTCCTTCTTGTTGAAATGAGAGGAGTATCGCGATTTGCAAAAGCACATGACAAAAAGAAGACAATTTTTGCTTTCTGAGCTATAAAAATCCCACATCCTAGCTGCCCTCTCTGGGAAGATTCTCTCTGCCAGCACCTGGCATAAAGTAAGTCATATCTCCACGCTAGGTCCCAGAGGTTTACATTTTTAGCATTCCTGTGTGCTGCTTGATATATTGCAACAGGAAAGAAAAATAACATCTATTTAATCAAAGCCACTGAAGAGAATGAACTATTTCTCCCTCCCCTTTTCAGTGCCTTGTTCTGCAAACGCTGCTCTCTGAGTCATGTCTTCATAGGCTCTCCAAATACTTGAAACTCTTGCTGACCTTCACTCCTAATGTAACTTCAGATATACTTCACTGGTTAAACACATGGGCAGAAACTACAGGAATCAGTGCATCTCCTATTTCTTTTCCTCTGTTTGCTGTAAGACACACTCTCCAGATAGAAATAGACTGGTACCAAAAAAGAAATTAAGTATTTATTGTTTCTGTAAGGTGACAACGACACCAAAAATTCTTCTCAAGATCTTATGCTTTTTGTAGACCACAGAAAGTAAAGGCTGTAAATCCTTATTCAGCAGATGAAGAACTAAGGCACCACCTAAATTTAGGCACTTAACTGGGACATTCATCATTAGTGGGGAATGTGCTTTTTGGTGTCCTGGACTGCTCTTTGGGGGCCTCTCTTGCCTGCGCTATGTCCATTGACTCTATAGGGAGCTCAGAGCAGTTACACTGTGGGTTACACTTACGTGCTTAAAATTAATTTGGCTGAACCTAGATCTGTGCTCGGGTTCACATAGGAAATCATTGAGCAGAACTGAAAAAGGCACTGGGCTTTTCGGAGGAGCAGTATAGCCAAGAAGTACCAGACCTGAGTATTTTCCCTCCCTCCATTTTGTCCACAAGGGTGGAATGGAAGACATTGCAGGAAAAAGTACATTTTCATACGTTCCCAATGGAAAAGAATTTGCAGTAGAAATATTAAATAAAAACTACAACAACAAAAAAACAGAAACCGGAGGAAGAAGCTCAACAAAGAATTGGCAAGTGATGATAATACAGCTAGATGTGCCATGTCCAATCATATCACAGGGAAAAATGAGTTTGTCTAGAAGGGGAAGGATGAAGGAAAAGGCCTTTGGTACACTCAAGGGTGGAGGGGAGCCCCAAGAGAACTCACTAAGCAAATAAAAACCATAAAGATAGTAAAAAAGACAGAAACAAAAAAGGGTGGAACCATTGCATTACTCATACGTAGTAGTTGTTCCTATATTAGAGAGAAAATAATAACCCACCAGCTTCCTTAGCTACCTATATTTTCCATTTATGCTCCTCCGGATTGCAATTCCTAAGCCATTCCCAGTCTTACATGTCCTTATGTATCCTCAGGCACTTTCTGTCCCCTCACTCTGTTCTCATATTGCTGTGCAAGGCATATAGCAAGCCATGGAACAAGCTGAACACAAATCACATCTAGGTGTTGGAACCAAGTGATTTTCAGCTTATTGACATACCAGGAAGAGAAAGAAACACCATCTGCTCCTTTTTTGCTCTGTTGATCCCCCCACATTAGCACTAAAGAGCTCATATGCCCTACCTCATATACCACTCAGAGACCTTCATTATCTTTTGGCTTCAAAGCAGCGTTCTCCCTCATCCATTTTCAAAGCACCCTGAGCTTGGCAGGCAATGACTGATGCCCGCGTTAAACTTAAATCTCCCTCCCATCTCACATTGCTGCTTCAGTCATGTTTGCACAACTGGGGCTGACAGGCAACCTCCTCCTCCATCACCACCCCAAAAGCAAAAAAGCAAAAGCAAACTGGTATTTTACTATATGGTAAAATACTGGTATGGGAATAGAGGAAAAGAGGTGTCACCATGCCGCGATGGTCTGCTCACTCCACCTCATGCAAAGAGCTCTGCAACAGCCATCTCCTCTGCCAGCTGAAGGACTGATCCCCCTTAATGCCTGTATCTGGCCTATAAAAATAATGGGAGTTGTGCCTACAACCGCAGGGAGCTTACGGAGCTGAGTACTGCACAAAGCATTTAGATAGGTTCCACTGGCATCAGGTTTAAAATCGAAGCTTGGATTTCAGGTCTTTTCAGAATTTAGCCCTGAATTTGGGGACTTTTTTGCCCAGTGTTGCTGTTTCAGATGGTGCATGCTTCTGCCAAGCAATCGGATTTTCTACTCCTCTGTAATATCGCAGAAGACTCTCTTATTTTCCAATAGATTTTCCATTTCAATATTCCCCCTAAGTAGATTTAAACAATTGAAACAAAGAGACATAACCATATTTCCCTGTGCTTCAGAACTAGAAAAAATGAACATCCACTGGACAAGAACGCTTTGTGGCCAAATGAAATCTTCAGTTCTGCTCAGTAAAATGAGGGCATGTTTCCTTTTTACTGGTTCAGTACAAAAAAGCTTTACGAGGCAATGCTGTTAAAAGTGATGCTGTTTTCAAAAGAGTCTCTGTTCCTGCCAACTTGGGTTCTCTGTGAATGATGGTTTATTAAGGAGAGGCGGGCTGGATTTTGGTCTAGAGCCATGGTGCTTTATCCGACTCCTACCGATCACACATGCCTTTGTACTGAGTGAAGTGCGACTGACATCAAAGGTCAGGATTTCATGTTCCTGCTCCTACAGGGCCAAGTGTGGGACGTGGAGAGCTCTTCGTTGTCGTACACCGATTAAGCAGCAATCTGAATTTCCCCGAGGTCAACAAAAGCTTACAAACTGATAGCAGCGTGAAGCTTTTAAGAGGGCAGAGTCTCTACTGAAGCAATTAAACAGCACCCGCGTACTCAGGAGCACCTGTGTACACAGTGTACACATAAGGAAAGCCAGTAAACCCAAATTCCTTCTGGGCATGGACCTCCCTCTCTCCTGAATTTTGTAACCGAGTGTGGGTAACCTGTTATACATGTGAGCAGTCCGTGAATGGGTTGGAACAAGCTGTGGAAACCTGCACCATAGTTCAGATAGAAAAGGGTGGCACAATAACAGCCATCTATATACAGGGCTGTTCCTTTAGTACTACCAAGAACTCGTATCACCAAAAAGAAAAACACATTGACAGGATGCTGCATGTGCCCCTCTCACAAAAGTTCCTCCCACATATAAGTGGGAACACGGCAGAATGCATAAATGCATTTGTGAAGCCTGCTCCAGTGGTAGAGCAAAGGGAGCTAGATCATAATTATTTAGCTTTAAATTTAAGCCTTAGCTTGTTAGTGAATACATACAGAACATGACTATGCAACAGACAGCCTGACACCAACTGCAGCCTAGGTTGCACAGTGAACTTCCTCTTTTGCAAGCATTTCACCAGACTCATTAAGGAAACTTTTGAAATTTCTATTGTTACTTACTGCAACGCTGTCATAGTTACATGAGTTGTGCTCTTCAATGTCAAAATCCGTGAAGTTCAGTAGGACTCTGTGGCTGTAGTCAACTTGGATAACCCAAGAACAGTCTGTGTTGTTATTATATGGCTCAGGATAGTTTGGAGAATGGATTTCACCACTGGTAGCTTGGAAAATACCACCACAGCCTGAAAAGGATATGATCAGTTTTAACCATAATAGCTCATTTATTCTTAGCAATATTCTACCTCTATTTTTAAACTAAAGGAACATCACCTCCGTCCTTGTACTGTCTACATTAGACCTGTGTAAAACGAGTGCTCCACTTGTTCAAGTGTCCTGTCCACAACCAAAATCAATGTCAAATGACTACCAGGAAAGTACAACATTATCATAATTGGTGAATATGCAACAACAATACTTGTGAGTTTCTTTCTAGCCCCAGGCTGGTAGCAAATGACCTACAGGCTGAAGCATTAGGGCTGGTATTTCTCTATCCTACATATTATAAAAACAATTAAAAATATAATTCATATGAATGCCACAGACCTTTTACACCTAGGTGACTGGCTAACCTAGCATACTGAGAAAGCAATGATTAGGCCCAGTTGAGCACAGGGGTGAAAAAAAGATTCTGGAAAATATGAAGACAGCTGAGAGCTCCATTTTCTTGAGCAGTACAGCGATTACAAGCCTCAGGCTTTTACTTCTCAACCCACATAGTTGAGGGCTTCCTCAGGACTCCAGTTCAACCCCAGCTATTTCTGACCAGAACAGCTCCAGTCCTCACAAACATCCGAGTATCCCAGAAGGATGGATCCTGTGCAGGTAGTGCCAGGGCTTTCAGTGGGACTAACACAAACAAATGGACTTTTATGTGATGCAAAGAGATGAAGTGGGGCGAGAGAAAGATACAGGGACTGCCGGAGATAGAGATAGTCTGCTGGAAGGATAAAAACTACACTGCTATTGGGCTCCAGTGAGAGGGTGTTTTAGAGGCGAGAGGGGGAGTAAGATGCTATAAAGGGATGAGAAAGCTAAGTAGTTTGGAAAAAACAAGCCACCAAATCTCGAAAGGGGATTAATTCAAAGGACTATTGTAAACTGTCTTTTTATTCAAATAAATCTTGTACCTTTCTCATAAAACTTGTGAGAATGGAGAAGTTTGAACCCTGACAGACCAATGAATCAGTGTATTTAATCATTAAGTGAAACTGCAAGAATTAAAATCTGCCTCTTCTCACTTTTCATTGCAATTAGGTACTGTCAATTAGCCTTTCCATAAGCACTCCCATGTAAAAACATGTGGTTAAGGTCCTTTAAACATTTCTCTTCTTTCACTGATTACCAGTAAGTCTTTGAAAAAATAATCACGTGGGGGATGGATGAACCTTGTGGAGTTCAAGGATTTACTAATCACTCCAAATATTTTTGGAGTTCACTGAGTTCTCCAAGCTAAGCCAGGTTCTCAGATGTTTTTCACTTCATAATTTAAAACTAGGAGCATCATTCAGTTAATGAAAGGCTCTGTGTGTGTGTGTGTGTGTGTGTGTGTGTGTGTGTGTGTGTGTGTGCGCGCGTGTGTGTGTGGCGGGGAAAACACTGGCATAAAAAGTTCTTTTCTGATTACAGGAATGTCTTGATTCATTACATATAGAAGAAATCCCAGCAAAGCAGACTGTAGCAATACGTATAAATAGGCTTAAATATAAGCCAGTTAGATGTTTCTTTCTCAGTTTTCCTCTGTGTGTTTTTCAGCATTTGTCTTAGTAGAACCAAATCCAGTAACCTCCCAATTCTCCTTAGCTTTCAGTCCTACACTGCTTGACTACTTTACATGTTTGCATGGCTGATCCATCCTCAGCTCTTCTCAGACGTGCTGAATTTCTCATGGCATTAATCGGCACACTCACCACCCGTCTTTTCTTGCCAAGAGGCATTGAAACCTTTCCCAGTCACTGCTGCATCTGTTTTGAAACGGACAACAACTGAATTGCCTGTAGTGGAGACCTGCAATGGGTTCTGCGCTGATCTTGAAACACACAGCTGGGCTAGTCTAGGAGAGAGAAAATCAGGTCCACCATAGACCTAGAAAGAGAAGAAACTGTCAGTCAAAGGTTTTCAAAGAGATCATTTGCCATAGTAGAATACATCAGAACTGTTTAGACAGGAGAAAAAAAATCTCAGGTAAGTATTGAAAGTGTTTCCACATTTTTAAACGTAAGGTAGCCAGTAAAGTTATTTTCTCAGCAGGTTTGCTTGGTGTCTGAGATACCTGGAACAAGTATGCAATTCTAGATGATTTCAAAACAGCCTTGCATTAAATGAGAATTTTCTGCTTTGGAGACTCTGCCATGCTCTTCTTCCTCCATCCCTCCAGGGTTAGCACCTTGTTTCTGTGAGGATATAAAAGTATATCTTTTGTGTGCTTGTGCAAACAAACTGTATCTCTTTGCTGGAACTCGTGCTGATATTTTGTGCCCTTTATGTTTAAAAGCACAGTTAAGATTGATTTTTTTTTTTTTAATTGGGGCCAGATTTTATCATTCTCTCTAATAAAATAAAACACCTTGCAATTCTTTTGACTTCAATAGAAGAATCAGGATCCAAACTATGGGATTTTGGCCTAGGAAGTAAATGATATTCTAATAATACCCTACAGAAATGAAGGTATATTTCATACTATTTGCCACAGAAAATAAGTTTCAGCTTTTCCGAGTTAGTATTTCCTTTCAAAAGAGTGTTCATCAGATAGCTACAAACCAGAAAAGCACCAATCTCTTAAGCATGATCGACAGTGTTGTGTACTTTACAATGCAGTGTTAAACCTATTCAGGTGAATTAGATTGTTTGGCTGAAGCTTTGTAATTCTGTTTTTTGTTTTCCAAAAGGGATGTGGGATAATATTTTGCACCCATTTGTAACTGGTGGACCTGGCTTATCTTCATTAGTCTGGCCTCTTACAGTCCAAGGAGACACACATGCTTAGCACAGTTTTCAAAACCAGATGTGATTTTGGTGCCCAGTGCCTCAATGATCAAATTTGCTTGGCTTCTTGTGTGTTAATGAAATGCTGCCTGATGTCTCGGTCTCCTGCCTCCCATCAGGATCTCCTTGGTGAGCCAACAGCTCCAAAAATCAGCTTGACAGTAACCTCGAATGGGAATGCTGTTGATAGATGCACCGAATGAAGAGTGTTCAGCAACTGAACTAGCTATTATTGTATTGCTACAATAATAACAGCTAATCTCACCTATATCAGCATACATTGCATATACATCCTGACGCTAAGCTAGAGGATGACATATGCTAACAACAAAACCAGGGACTAGAAAGATGGGGCAACAATTCCCATCAAGATTTTCCACCAATAGCATTCCAGATTTCTTCCCATATTTTAGTAGTCTGGTAAACATCAAAAAGGTCAGAAAAAGCAATCCATAAATCTTTCTCAGAAAGTGGCAGCACCATAAGAACCAGACTGCTCTACGGCCCTTTTACCTCTGATCTGTGTGAGATGAGGACAAACACAATATTTTAATAAGCTCTGCCTGACACTCGCTAACCTCAAAAGAAGTTTGAGTTCAGTCCAAGCTAAATATCTGAGCAAGTCTTACAAACACCTGAACTAGTTCCACCACCTCCAGCTATAAGGGTAGTGCATTGCTACGCAATCTGATTGACTGTGTGCTCACTTAACATTCAAAGTGCCTAACACAGCTCTGCTATTAGAGGTACAGGCAAAAGAACTTTTTTTTTAAACTGGAAAAATATTCAGTGATTCCAGAGTAATGCGGCACTCAGAAGCTGAAGCTCCTGTTCCCAGAAGCAACAAGAAATGAATTGTTCTATAAACATCATGCTCTGTAAGATGTTCAGAGGATTCCCTTTTGTTTCAGTGGCTGATTTTGCATGCTTAACTATTTTCTTTAATTTTGACTGAGACTAGCACTATTATGCTTTCTGCAGGGAGGCTGCATGATTTGAATGCATAATAGTGCCTCTGCCCAATTGATCATCTCAAGGCGCTCAGGAGAAGTCAGAAGGGATGAAATTGCAGCTCCAATCCAGACTACAATGAAGCAGCCACAGTCCTAGGAAGAAGCATGTTTGTCCATTTGAAGCTCAGCATCTTCAGTAAATGCCTGGCTGCTTGCAAGGCCCAACAACAGCTGCATTTGTCAGAAGTCTGTTCAAAATATGAATTTTTAAATGTGTTTGTGGTATATCTCCCTGAGTCAGAGCCACAGCATGGGACCCAGTGAGAACATATGCTCTTCATCATCTAAACCTTCCCAATGAAGCTATGTGGCAAAGGAAACAGCGGGAATATTCAGCTGCAATACGCATCACGGACCGGCCTCTCACATTGTCCCCGGTGCTCCCTGGGGCCATCTGCACACCACAGGCAAGGGGAGCCAGTCCAGCTCTAACATAAGCCCTGCTGATTTCTGTACTATTACCTCAGGAATTAATTTGGTTCAAGCTGAACACTTACAGTTAGAGCTGGACTGTCAAAAGAAAATTAAGGATGAGGAGGAAGCTGGGTTTTGTGGGTTTCCTTTACATTGTTAGCTGTTCAGCAATGGCATTCTGCACAGTTTCAAAACCAAAAGCACTAGTCAAAGCCATGCCCTTCACAGTTAGGAGTGCATTTTATTTTCTCCTTTACGCTAGTTCAACTAAGCAGATGCTTTCACAAGGGCTGGAACAAAACAGGCCAGAGTGTTTCCATGACAAAAAACAATAAAATGTTACTTTTGGCTCCAAAGAGGAAAACCAATAGTTACCACATGAAAAAAGGAGAAGGAAAAGAGAAGGGATGGAAAGAATGAATTCCAGGGTGTGGTTCACAAAGAGTCACAGGATGTCCGAGCTGCAGAGAGATAAAAATACAAATAAAAACATTTAGTCTGATCTGACCACCTGATCCAGAGATGAAATAATGTTGGATGGAATAGCGGGGATGCAGGACACTGCCATAAAGCCCATGGTTTTAATCTGTTCTTACCATTTGCTTCTGCTCCGTTAACTCCATTTATTGTTACCAGTCAGCATTCCAGAGTTATGAGCAATAGAAAGTTGTTTTCATGTGGTTGGTCCACCCTCATGACACAGATTTCTGGGAATAAAACTGATCCCTGTTCAGATATAACTGCCAGCAAAGAGAGAGCCCGGCATTGAGAGAGAAACAAGAATTACGATAATGCTTGATGTCTCTTTATATTTAAACAAGAATACAACAGCATCTGATAAAGGCTTGGAAGTGTGATAGATTGCCAGGGTTTTTTCCTTTTCAGCTCACATCTATGTCTTGCTGTGGCAACACATTTCTACAGTTTACTAAAATCTGGTCACTGTTAAAGAAGATATATCATAATTTAACAAAGCTGGCACGGCCAATTTCTCTATGTATTTTCACAGAAGCTATTTTTTAAATATATTTAACTCTTTCATTACGTCCAAAATGATGGCCTCTATTTCCATAAACATTTACAGAAAACATCTTTAAAAACAAACTTTAAAAAACTGCTTCTGGATGTTTGTGAAAGGTGTGGAATCCGATGGGGAAGAGAGAAAGACTGCAACAGCGTCATAATAGACACAAGAGGGAGGTTAAAAGGGGAACCTATTGAACACCTGAGCATGCGGAAGCCATGGGGAGAATTCGAAGATTCCATGCGCAAAATTTTTACTTAACTAATATTGGAAAGTCTTAGTGAAACATATGGCAGGTCCGGGACATTGACATGAAAATGACAGTTTGTTTGAGAGGCATTGTCAAAGGAAAGGGAAGGGGGGTGGTTGCTGCATTTCATAAGAATGAATACGCTTCATGAATGAACTCTCTGCCAGGTGGAAGGGGAGAGGATGCTTCAAAGCAAAAAGTAAAAGCAACCAGGCGAGCAAACCTGGTGATTACTAAGAAATTTTTATTATAAGATAATATATTTTGGAAGAACAATAGGAAAGGACACCAAAATTCATTGCTATGTTCTGAAGAAGGTTTCTTGTTCCAGACAGTAGAGAGAGTTAACTGAATAGGAGTCTGGAGGAACAGCAGGGTGCAAAGCTACTTTAGTTCTGATTTTGACTTCCTATTAAAACTGGAAAGTTATTTGGCTTGAAAGAAAACAGGAAGTGGTAGAACTCACTATTCTAAGATAAGGAAAAAGTGAAATCAGGGGAACAACTATGAGAAAAAGCAGACTTCAATAACCGAAGGAATTGGTAGACAGGGTTACTCTCAGGGAGGTAACACGAGGGTGAAAGGAGTTTGGGAACCCCAGCGATCATTGAAACCGATTATGTCAAAAGCACACTAGGAACCTCTTTTTTTTCTAGCAGTTTATGAAACTTGTGTGCGTGCGTGTGGTTTTTCAGGTTGGATCTATGTAGACAAGTACAGCAAATAAGCCTGCAAGGTACAGCAGCTCCTGAAAATAGTTAACTACATTCCTTTTTCCCTCCACTAAATCTGAATCAACTTTTTTTCTGTGCAGACTATATCAATGATGCTGTGAATGTGTAATTTCTAACAAAAACAAGGAAATACATATGTGGCAAATTACAAAAAGCTCCACCAAATGCTTGCAGTTTAGCAGGGAGAGTTGTACACTGCCAGACAGAACTTTTGATCTTGCACTAAGACATGAATTGATCTTCCCCAATAGTTTGATTTATATTAGTTTATCTATTAGCTGATCAGAGACAGGTGCTGGGAGCTGGGTGAGCCAAGTTCGAGTGATGAGTAACCAAGAAGCATACTGATCCTGAGGGTGGGGAAGAGCAGTGGTCAATAGCCACACTGAGGGCAGGAAGGCAGGGAAGTTCAAACTGCAAGGTGGGCATCTATGCTGATGAACGAGCATAGATGAAAAGAAGTAAAGCACAGCAACTAGTTAGAAGTGATAAACAAAGAAAACTGAAAACCTAAGGCAAATACCTTACTCAGGCACACAGAGCAGCAAGCTGTAGGATCTTCTTAAGCAACTTGTTTAAGTAATTTGTGTCAAGCAACCCCTTCATTAGGCTTTTAGGCTGACCTCCCACTAGTCAAAAAGTTGTTAAGCAAATGGTTGCCAGCCATCTGGTATTCCCACCAGATCCTGATAGCTTCTGGGTGTTCAGCTGTAGGTGTAGGCATCATCCTTGCACTATTCAACCACAACTGAATTAGACTTTGTAGCTGTTCAATTGATTCCTCTGGGCAACGGAGGCATGACTGAAGCTTACAAGGCAGATAAGCTTCAATTCAGCCCTTTAGGCATAAACAGCAATGAAGCTGCAACACAGCTGACTTCATCAATATCCAGATCAGCCAACGCAGGTCACCTACCCACAGGCAAAGGTGTCAGCAATGTGACAAATGGGCACACTTGCCACTGCTACTGAAGGAGAGTTCATGGAGCAAATTCCTTACATCCAGATCCCACAGAAGCCTCAAAGCTAGTAGGATACTAGTGTCCATCCACATGATCAAGACTTCAGTTTCATTGCTCAGCTAGGAAAACCTGTTTTAAAGCTGAACGGCTGGAGTTAAGTCATGCATCTCTTCTACTTGTACAAACGCTTAACAATCATTGGTCCGGCCACTGGATACTTAAGAGTTGCTTTGGGCGGTGGGTTCAGTCTCCCATCAGGAACATTGCTGTTGAGTGCGCACTAAGGACCTTAGGCTAGCGAAATTAAGGCTACAAAGGCAAGAAAGGGAGCAAAGAGTGTGGGCACGTGCTGGATGGATAGCTGTCCGGCTGTATGCCAGCCATGCTTCCCATTTCTTGGGAGAACAGAAGGCCCTAGCACAGTGGTACAATCTCTCTTAATGAATCTTTTATTTTCAGTCCATTATGGGAACATTAAAAATTCACACAGGTAAAAACAACAAAAGACCCAACAACTCTAGCTCCATTAGTGATTGTGTATCTCTCTGGTGAGAGCCATCTAGAAAATCTATCCTTCCAAATAATTTCTTTCTGAAACTACTTTCTCGTGCTTTTTTCTGCACTGAAAGTCTATTCAAATCTGTTAGCTGGGAATTGGTTGCCTGGCTGCTTCCCAACATGAGCACCAAGATGTCTTATATAACAGGACCAGGCATTCTTCCAGGTCTCTTAAAGGTCAATAAACCTTTAGAGAGGCCCCTTTTCTCCTTGTCCAACCACCCTAATCTGCTTAGGGCACTGCCTCTTATTTTTTTTTCCAAAAACAAAAGTTCTTAGGATCCAGGGTTATAAACCTCCCCACTTCCTTGGAAGGTCCTGCACAAGGTCCCACTTTAGTTATCCTCCCAGCAATCCATCATCTTCCTTTAGCTTTGGGAAATTTTATCTCCATGGTACAGTACCCCACACTCAGTTCTTTCAAAAGGGTGGACATTTTAAGACTTTGAGGTCTTCAGAATGGCTTTGTCTAATGTTACGAAGTGTGCAGTGCCTACCATCATTATTGATTAAGGTTTACAAATACCAAAGTCATAAACACAAAAATTAATGAGTGCTGTGGTTTCCGCAACAACATCAGTGGAACGTAACTTCAGCCATAGCAGAAATGGGAAACTGCAGAAGACTCTTTGTTCTGCTCCTGCAGTTCTTGGGATAATCTGCTTCAGAGAGAAATGCAAATAACTCGTATATTTTTGAGGGCTAAATCTACCTCCAAAAGGCTAAATCTTACCTCCAAAACATCGTAGTTGCAGTTTGGGTGATACTCAACGTCAAATTCCTGGATGGTGAGTTGAATGCTGCTACCGGGTGCTGTGTGAATGTACCAGATGCATTCCCTATTGCTTGGGTACCTGTCGGGGTAGCCAGGGCTGTGAAACGATCCTGAAGGGCCAGAGAGTTCTCCTCCACAACCTGACAACACAGCAAAGCAGCCTGTCAGCAAGGGGCTCTGGAAAACCTCCCCGACAGCCCTGGGAGACAGAAAGGCATCAGCACCTGCTTCGTGCACAAATGTGTACTCTGGGTTTGAGGGTCCTCTCTGTCAGAGGGAACCAAAGTCTAGCAGGGAGGAGAGACCCAGAAACTGCAGGCTGGAGCTGCTGGCATTGCCCATGCAATAAGCGCTTCATCCCTGTTTCATCACGCTTCTCGCTGAACCTCAGAATCTGCTTTGACAGCTGAAGAAACTGAGGCACAGAGTGAATAGTTGATATTTTTATATTGGCCCCTAACTTGGTTTGATTGGTTCTAGAAAACTGGATCAGATGCATCCTCAGCTGCTCCTGACCTCAGCTAATACAAAACTAAACTATGATGGGGCAGGTTTTCTATTGTTGCAAAAATGCCGTTTCCCATTGTTTTAGAAAACATAAAATTAAAAAGACAATACAATTTCCCTCAGCCCTCTGAACATGACTACAAGTTGCCAAGTCACAGTGGAGATGAACTGGCTTTCTGATATTTCATGGGTTTAATATTATTCTTTTTATTCATTTGTAACTGTGCAATTGTAAGACATGCCATGTTTGAAAAGCTTTGTGTTTTCTTTTCAGACAAGAAATTATTGTCTTAGCCCCACTCCTCAGCCCCTTAGGCGATTAACTTCTGACACATTATGAGCTAGATTTAAAAAAAAAAGAAACAATGGACCAAATGCAAGCCCTGATTTGATAGCACAAAACAGCTGAACACCTCAGAGATCAAACCCCTTAGACATCTTCCACTGTGGCTGAGGAATCACTGGAGCACTGATCACCTTCTATGCTCAGTCTCAAGCTCTTAGGAGGGAGAAAGACATTTGGAAGACAGAAGACATGGCCACAGCAGCCTTCACCTCTGAGACCACTGGTGGCTGCCACTAAAGCTTTGGGTACAAGGCAGAAGACCTCTTCACCTTCTTTATCAGATCGACTATGAATTGTAAGGGTAGCATTCATCACTCCTCTGCATTAAACACACTTTACCTGGACAATTCACACACGAAAATAATTAGCCAGTACCCAGAAGGATATATATATATAGCAGCCCAGACAGAAATCATCAGTTCCATAGATTTTGAAAATTTCAAATAAAAAGACTGATGCTCACTTCCACTCCCCACATGCAACTAATGAAGCGTCTCAAAAAAGTAACCCAGATGTCACGGCTGTGACTGTGTGCCGTAGCCTAAAACAAAGTGGTTGCTTTTACTATTACACGACAGCTCTGTTTCAGCTGTGGCTTTTGGGAGTACAGGTCTCTGGGGCTGAAGCTGTTCTATCCCTCACCTCTGCACCATTTAATTCATCAGCTTTTTTGCAGTTCTCTCATCTAAAACAAAAGGGTACCATCCTGATTATAAGCACTACACAGCAGCAGCTAGAAGCAGAGAAAAGACAGACTGAGGCTACAGTTTTACCACTGCTTTATGCAGGTATGAGTGGCAACTGCTGCCCTCGCTTTCTTTGGTTGGATTCCCAGTGAGATCTCTCCCTGGTCCAGTCCCTGGGTGCTGGTGTCAACAGGAGCCGCACACCAGTGAGAGTGCCGCTCCTGCCCTTCCCAGTGTTGGGAAGCTACCTTCCCGGGTCAGCTACATTCATCGCGAAACCACATCTTTAGAGAAGCAAGTGGGGTGGCTATTTACCTGTCACGTGCAGAAAGCAAGTGAATTGTGTCTTTGATCTGATTTTATGTGTGTATTGCCGTCTGAGGTGTTCAGCTGTTTTGTGCTATCAAATCAGGGCTTGCATTTGGTCCATTGTTTCTTTTTTTTTTTTTTTAATCTAGCTCATAATGTGTCAGAAGTTAATCGCCTAAGGGGCTGAGGAGTGGGGCTAAGACAATAATTTCTTGTCTGAAAAGAAAACACAAAGCAGCATTTTGTCTCTCAGCATTATGAGCCCTCAAGCGCTTCATTGAGGCTCTAGCTGATCTTTTGCTAACATAGCTTTTGTGGAGTCACTCAAGTCGCCCTTACAATGAAAGCCCACACTCTACCAATCAAGCTCTTTGGATTCATCTCCTAAGGGAAGATTTTGTCACATCACAAAAAAGCCTCAAAATAGTTATAATAATAATTAAGCCACCTAACAATCCACGAGCTGTGTATTTCCAGAAGCAAATATTGCAGTATGTCAGAAAAGTGACAGCATCTTTACCACAACTGTTAGTTATAGGAAATATTCTGTAATATTAAAAAAACCTAACCTTCTGACCTACTCAACTAACCCACACAGATGTGTGAGACCCTCCTAATCTGTACTAATCTATGCATAATTTGCAACTGACTCAGGTATCCTCAGGTATGCTCTCCTTAATGCATTCCTTTCTTCATCAATTTGTAAATTAAGATCTTCAATTAAATGCAAATACTTTCCTGATAATCCTTCCTGATCCGTTCCTTTCCTGAGAAGCCCCTCTGATAAAAGCATGGTGGCTAAAAGGCAGCTGCTAAACCCCAGCAGCATTTGCTGTCATCTCTACCGCGGGGTCCTTCACTCCTCACTGAAAACTTGAGTTGGGCTCTCCCACAGTTGGCTCTGCTGCCTGCTAGGGCTATGAAATACAAATCTGTGAAAGGAAATAGCAGCAGGTCTGAAAGGGAGCAAGGCAGTAGGAAACTGTTGTAAAGTAGAAACGAGTCATCTAAAAGCAGACATGAGGAAGATGTCTCCAGCCATGCCAGTTGTGTGGCATGCATCTCTGACTCCGTCACCCCATAATCATGGGAAAACTGCTGTAGAAACATGAGAATTTCCACAATTAGACAACAGTTAGCTGTAACCCCGGAAATCCTTTCCATAGCTGAGCTTGACCTCACAGGTGAACTGCCACGGGCTCAGTCCTATTCTCCCCTGTCCCCAGGGATCGCATCTACCTTGCAGCACATGCTGCTCCATAACCGTAACGTTTGCCTGGCAGACCCAAGGGCATATTATCAACTTACAGATGTCTCAGTTAAGGGGTAAAAGCAGCCTTTAAGCGTATTTGAAACCAGTCCTGCCTTTAATCCCTCCAGAGAGATAAGCACAATGGAAAAAGGTGCTTCACTTGCTTCCCCAGTGCCTGCTGCCAATCGGTGGATACTTGTCAACTGCCTGCAACATTTGCTATCCAGGAAACTTTCAGCAGAGACACAGACAAATAGAAGGTTTCAGTGTCACCTACAGTGATCCCACCACAAGATGGCCAAATTTTCCTTAAAAAAAACCAAGCTTGTTGGTTTTTTTTAATTTTTTAATCGGAAAAAGAAAGGAGGAGGGAGAAGCCTACAGCTGAGTTTGCAGTGAGTTACTCTATTTCTTTTTCCTCAGCAGCAGGTCAGGAATGATATGGCCACTGAGGAGGTTTCAGGAGGGGAAAGATTTCTCAACAAACAGACTTGCACGGCCCAGCTCCCGAGGGGGTGGGAATGGGGAGGCAGGGGAGTTTCGGCAGCCGAGAACAAAGCCAACTGCTATTTATCTCAGCCTGAAGAAAGCTGGGAACATTTTAAAACTAAACAGGCAGTTATGACTCAGCTTCTCCTACTAAGAGCTTCCTGATAGCCACAAAGACATGTTTTTTATTTAAACCCAAAATGGCTCAGAGTGGAAAGCTTGAGTGCTGCTCTTTGAGGCACAGACTTTTCTCTCTATGCAGCCCTTGCAGGTAGCATTCAGACTACTCATGCTCTCTCTCAAGAGTGGTTTATATTTTCTCTGAGCTCAATTGATATTCCCTGGATGAGGTATGTGAAGCACATGAATATCAAACTATTGTTAATGTGCCATTTATTTCCTTCCAATTGCAAAATGTTCCCAGAAACAGGGTATTTTTAAAAGAAGCAATTCTTTTCAAGTGCTCCAGTAAAATGGAGGTAACATTCATGCATGATTCTTTTCTTACAATGAATGTACTGAATTCATGTTGTCAGTCTTTTGTTAATTGTTTGCAAACAAATCAGCAATTGCTTCTGCTTATTTCTAAGTATTCTCTGAAAAAGAGCTGGAAAAAAGAACAGGCTAATCTTGCAAATATGTGAACTTCACACCTGTACTGTTTTGACTGACCTCCTCATAACAGCAGAAACCTCCATTTCGGAGCAGAAACATAATATGTGAACTCTCTGGCAGAGAGCTCATGCAGTGTGTTTCTGCTCTCCTATGGATGAAATAAGAATCAGTTCTGGTGTGCTTTTTCGAAAATATAGATGCCATGTAATTTAAACAAAATATTTGCAGAAATACTTACATATTTTAACAAATGTTCCTGCCTTTAAATGCATTTGCTACAACATCTACGGAAAATTAAAATGAGAAAAACTCAAATAATGATAGCAAAACTTTATGGAAATGTTTACAAACTTTTTCTATGAAACATTTGCCCAGCCATAGTACTAAGACAAAAGAATTGTCCTGGAGTATTGTTTCAAATTCAGAAGCAAATTTTGATTCAGCCACTTTGTAGTCTATTTTTCAGTTCCTAGAACATTATGGGTTCTTTCTACTTGTCAACTATTTGTCCTGAATATTTTTAAAAAGTGAATTTAAAATTGAGTTCCTGATTTATTCAGTGTCTTCCCCATGTTCATTAGCCACAAAATTCTCATAGCATTATCCCTTTCTTTGATTTGATCACAAGTATAAGCAATGAAGGGAAACTAAAGTATAAGTGTTTTTAATATTGTGTGTTATATATGAACACAGATTCTCTGCCTTAAGATGCTTAAATTAGGATTTGAAATGCATGCCTTGGCAGATAGCTGAAATCATCAGAAAGAAATGACATTCATTTGAATTGGCCAGAAGGCCAATATGTGTATATATTTATATTTATACACACATGTATGTATGTATGTATGTTTATATGTATGGATATTGTATTTAAGAGGAAAATTTCAGAAGAAATGCTGGTCCTATTCTTTTCCTATTTTTTGAACAAGCTAAGAAATACATTTCTATTTGACCTACAATGTAATTTCCATACAATAGTAGCTTGCCTAATTTATTAAGATACTGAAACAGGAAAAGTTTAAATGATGAAGTAATCAGCTCAGCTAATGAAACTTCTTCCATCTCTGGCTTTACCCAAACCTTCTCACAATGTTTACATTTGCCTGCAAACATCAGATTACATTTTGCCTCTATTCAAATAATTACTGTTTGGTTTTTTTTTTTTTTTGCTGTTTATTGCAACAAGGGGAAAAAAATTTGGTCTCTAGGGGCAACTAAAAATGAGGAGGCAGATCACAGAAATTGTTGCATGACATCAGGTCCCACTGAAACAACAGGCAATCTGAAGCAGCTCTGTACCTAGCCAAACACCTTCAGAGGAGTTTTCCACAGCACACAAGTATGTGATCTTGCTGTATTGGGGCAGCTTCACAGACAGCTGCACTGTGGAAAATTTCCTGTGGCTGAATTGCTTATGGCATATGCTCAGCTTGAGCAGACTTCCGTGGAGCCATTTTAGAAACTTCCACTTTACAGCTAAGCTGAGAAAAAAGGGGCGGGATGAGATACTCTTTTGGTAGCGTAAAGGTCTTGGAGTTCCCTTGAACAGTGCTTAAAACAACTACCTAATGTAGTGTTAGTTGCTAAGAAATCCGACAACAAATAGAAAGCTCAGGAAACATATATTTGGTGGCTTTGCTTTCCTCTGGTTAAAATCTTAGTAGTCACTGAAGATTGTACAAGGGATGATTTATAGACGTCTTTCCGTATTACTGCCTGTCTGGCTAGCAGATGGTGTTCATTAACCGAAGAAGAATCTCTAGTCTCATAAATAATTACAGCTGAACACTGAAGTAGTAATCTGTGCAAACCTCAGGGTTTTTGCAAGGTTTTCAGATTTATTCAGGGTTTGTTTTATCCACACACTAGAAACTCCCTTCCATAAAGCTTAAGTGAATTGGCACTGTTCACGTAAAATCAGAGTTAGGGAAATGAAAGGATTCAAGGTTGTTCCATTTGTTGTGCTCGTACTGAAACACTTCGGTCAACATCAACTGACCCTAGTTGTAAGGAACATGTAGGAAGAACATTTGCCTTTTACACCATTAATACTGCATGAGGCATAACTTGGATTTGATTCTGAAATTTTTTGTTCTCTTTTGTAGATTTAGTTCAGAGAATAAGATCCCCTGACACAGTGGGGTAATTTTTGTGATGAGGGGAGTGAAAATGGAAGTGAGAAACTTTGTTCCCCCTTCTGACTTTGCTAATCACATCTATAGCTTTCATTATTATTGTTTCATCAGTCTCTTGAATTCTGGACATTTTCCTCCGTGGGTTCCAGTCTGATACCAGTAAGATGGATATTAAATGAAAAAAAGACTGCTGGGACTCAGACACCTAAACCCAAATGCAGGTATTCAAATAGGAGTTGAATCAGCTGCAAGTGTTCAGTGTTTTAAAAAAAAAAAAAAAAGATCAGGCCATTTTCTAGTTCTCAGACATTGATCAAACTGTTCAGCTGCAAGCACTTTAGGAAAATTTTGGCCTTTATTCTTAGATATTAGTTTACGGGTTTTTTCACCTTGCTGAAGAAACAGAAATTAGTTCACCTCTCACAGAGGAAATGTCTGTGTCTTTCAATAGCCACAGTGCGATACAAAAAGACAGCTCTAAGACACGCTACACCCACAACTCCTAACAACTGCTCAGGACTTCAAAAGATCTGGTCCTGTGCACTTCAGACTTAATGTGACAAAAAGATAGTGAAAATGAATAGTCATTTCTGAAACTGAATTCACGATGATTTGTCCAAGGCTGCCCAAGAAATCAGCAGCAGAGTTAGGAAATCCTTTGTCTCAGCTCCCTGAATGACCTGCAACGCTATATCTCTCCAGCAACCCTAATGGATGGCTGACATATGTCAGCAATGAATGACTTCTCCATCTTAATGTAATATCCCCTTCTGTTAGGAGCCCCTGAAGGACTAACACAATTTTTTCACTTTTTTTCTCGCAGATACGCTTAAAAATCCAGCCTTTGGTTATTGTATGGCTTTTAGCATTTTTCATCTTCTGAAAATATGGAGCCAGAAGAGTGAAAACCTCTCTTCTCATGAACCAAGCGTGCTTTCTCCACTCCCTGTCCATCAATCATGGCTTCCCAGGGAAATCCAACACAAAGATGATGATGATGAAGGAGAAAAGCAATACTTTGGGGCTACATTACTCTTTCTCAACAGCATGCTTTGCTTCTTTTTTAAAGGGAAATCAATATGTGTCACAGAATATCAGACACAATTCTGAGTATGCTGAGAGCTGCAAATTGAATTTATAAGCTGTATTCCCAATCACGCAGCCTAATGACTAAGCTTCCAATGAAATGTAGAGATGTATATTTAAAGCTGCCAACTCCTGCATGCACGTTGCTTAATAAGGTAAGTGACGGGTATAGGAAATATGTGTCTTCTCAGATACTGACAGTTGTCACTGGTGTAATTTTGCACTGAGAGACCTTTGGCCTTTTGGCCTCCTGATTTTTTTCTTTTTTTTTTTTAGGGAAGCAATTCAATTGGCATGCCATCTTTGCAACATCCAGGCTGTTACCAAGAGTTTGTTCTTTCTTAAAGGGCCACTATACTGTCAACAATATTTTCGTTTGAATTCAGCTTTCTAATAAACAACAGAAGTGGAATGAGCATCCTGAAGGTTCAAGCTTTCCTCTGGTAAATAAGACTCTTGAGGCCTTGGCTGCAGAAGAAAACATTAGTGATTTAACCATATCAAATTTAAATCCAGCCTTACCAATGAAAGCCCCTTTGGGTGGACACTGTTATTTCAGAAACAAAAGCACTTTTAAACTGTATTCTTTGCACTATTGCTTTCTATCCAAGTTAAAATGATATAAGACACTTTTAAGGACAAATAACAGCATTCTCCCAAGATGAGTTATCAAAACTCTTTCTGGGAAAGCCTGAAGACTGTGTTTTCATTGGAAAATTTATACAGGGCCCAGCAACTGAGAAGATCAGGTGCAAATGTTTCAGTTCATAATACTTCAGATTTGTGCACTGTGTAGCAGCTGGGGCTCCACGTGTCAGTTATCAATGAGGTGAGCTTTTGGCTACTTCTGGTCATCTCATAAGTTCTAGCAAAGCTGCCAGAAAGAGCGTCTGCAGTGAATTGTATCAGATACATGGTGGCAAATCTAAGTGCAGCTCTCTTTTATCACCAAAGCAACTAAATGTCCTTAATATATATCTCAAAGATGCTCCACAACTCCCAGTTAAGGAGAAGAGGAATAGCCTGAGAAATAGTTCACAGGAGCTTGAACTCAAGAGCGCACGCATTTGTCACTTGAGCAGAAGTAAAATCTCTTCTCTCAGCAATACATATAGCTTGTTATTTTCATGCCAGGTGAGATGTTAACATACGCAGGCTCGGATTCCCTTAGTGATCTGCTCAGGGAAGAGGGGACTTGTATGCTTCACTCAGAAACACCCAGCTCAAAGCCTGCATCTCCTGCTGAGTTCCCTTGTATTAGGGGAGTTCCTCAGCTGAGCTCTTTTTGTGCATTTAAAAGACTTTCAGTAGGGGGAAGTGAACATGGCACCCTGACCACAGCAAGAGATCTAATTTTATCCAGGCTAGGGCAGTGGTACATACCCACAAAATGTAACTACCAGGCATAGGAGGGACACCCATATTTGTGCGTGACACCAATCAAGAAAAAAAGGAAGCGCTTGCAAAATACAGAAGGAAGACGGCTGTGGTCAGCTCAGGAGGAATTTGCACTAGTGTTACAGGCAGGCAGGGGCTGCAGCTGTGACATGCAGAGCCAGTAGTGACATTCCCCAGGAGCCAGCCCCATCTGCACCCGCAGACCCTGCTCTGCCGCTCGGACACTGCCCCACGTTAGCGATCCGGGCGCCATGAGGTATTAGGCCAAAGTCTAGTGCCCAGGAGCTAACGGAGGGGCAGTGCTGGCTGAGAGAGAAGCAAATGTGTCAGTGCCGAAAAGGAGTACAGTGGTGGGAGAGAGCTGGAAAGTCCAGGAAACGTGTGAGGGGGTGGAGGGAAAGTGCCAGAGTACTTACCAAGCAGACAGATCTCGGAAAGCTTTCAGAGCTTTAGAAGAGCAAGTTAACCCAGAACCATGGCTACTGTATGGAGCTGATGTCATTTGGCTCCGTGCATAAAAGCCTCCACTTTTTCTTCTTTTGTGCAGCCCTGGGATGACATCACCTCAAAGCACAAGAATGTACCTTTGTGCTGTAGCACTTCCCCGCTGGCTCCTGCCACACATCTCACTCTTCCCACATATGCCCCTCTTTTGACCAGAAAAGCTCCTCGACCTCCGCTGCATGCAAAACACCACTGTCTAGTTGGAGAGAGCCCTTTGGGAGCCCGTGAACGCTGGCAGTCTGTGGTGGTGCAGAGGAGCTCCTATTCAAACAGCATGTAACGAGCTGTACACCTCAGCAACCCACAGTAGGGCCTCTGCAGCTGATTTCAGCTGCTTTACAATGCTGCCAAAGCTGAATGGTGTGAACTGATTAGATAGACATGGCAACTGTGGCTATTTAATTATTTTCAAGGTCGGATCCTCTTTGATGGGATGTACAATGGTGTGCGATTTAATCTGGTTACAGTGCAATATTGCCATTAAATAAGCAGAGTGAAAAAGTTGCATTTGTAGCCTCACTTCAGAAGGAACTGCAAGCATAGTTTGCCGTTGTACAGTCATTAACAGATTTGTTTATAGTTGGCAGGCATGCTTGCCTATTTACTGAAGCCTGTGACAGTCTTCGTGACATGCAAGCACAGGACAAAAAACACCCGAAGCACATCATGGCCAGTGCTGTTTCATGCAGAGAAGGGAGGGAAGGCGGGGGGGCTGGAAGTGAATGCACTGCCCAAGAAAGGAATGACCACAAAAAACTAGACAGAAACTTGTACAGAAAACACAGGTCTACAGGAATTGTGGGCAAAACGAGGGTTGAGTGTCTCCCTTTAGAAAACCCAAGCTCAGTTACAGGGTTCCCTGTAACTGAGTACATCTCCACTTCAGCAAAGAAATTCTGCTCAAGTCCCTCATCACTGTGCGAAAGGAAACTACTCCTGCAGGTGAAAGGATATTCTGTGAACAGTGCTCAGCCAGTCGGGGGCCTTTTTAGGTGTGTGTGTGTGTGGACATATCCACTGGGAAAGTCTTGAAGGAATCATGAGGAAATGCGATGTATTCAGAGCGATAACAAATTGTTTCTATTTAGGCATAGCTGCAACATAACCTGGGACTCCACTATAAGTTCAGAGAAGAAGGAAACATACTTTCCCAGAGGAAATTTGGTTAGCTTACCATTAACATGCCACAGCATCTGGAACCCACTTCTAGCGTTCAATCCATCAGAGTGAAACACCACGTGGAGGCTGGTTCCTGTGGTATTCCCTGCTGGGGGAAGAGACTGTCCACAGAAAGTGCCTATCAGGTTGGACTGTGCATCAGGCCCATCATAGAGCTGAAAAGAAACAAAAAATATCGCAGCGAATAAAAAGCAGCTTCCCAATTCTGAAGCTTTTGTAAAGGATGTCAAAGAAAAAGTTGTGAGACTTCTCACACTGGCCTTGCTTACACAGCAAAATGAGCTATGGGAAGCATGGTGAGATTTGGATGAAATGATGACCAAATATTACTGCAATATGTCTTTAAACCTGGCTGCACACTGTGTACAGTAGGAAGGTTTTACTGTTTCTGTTTTGGTGTGTATTGGGGGTTGCTGGGGAAGAAGATAAAAGGCAAACAGCAATGAACTGAAACGGAAAGAAAAAGAGGATGTCATGGGTCCAATTGGACTGTGCATCTAACACATGCTAATTGCCTCCAAACCCCTTGGTGATAACTCAGATTGCATCTTCATTTTTTAGGGCCACACTCAGGTGATTTCCGATTGACCAAAGTTGCATGAGAGAAAACAAAGCAGTCAGCGTCACCAGAGGCTCCCAGAGTTATGAGGACAAACTGAGAACAAAGCAAAGTGAATCCTCAAAAACTACAAGACAAACTTCTCATGTATTTATTTATTGTCCTAACTTATGACAGTGTCCTGATTTGGAGGAGTAGCCTGTGATTTCTGAATTTTTGTACTTAGAATTGAGCTCATATTGCATGTGACAGTATTTTGACAGTCAGGGTGTTGACAAGACGTAGCCAGCCTGAAAATCTTTCTATTCCCTAACACGGGTGAGAAAGCTACCATCCCAATCCTAAAACATGACTACTCTAAAAAAAGGAATAAATAAAATGATAAGAAAATATTGTAAAACTTGAAGTCTGAAGTTAGTCATATACTCATATTTAAATAAAAAGACTAAATACATGTGTTGACTGGGTAATAATGGATGCTCAGAGCTTTTGAACCTCTTTATATTAGTTGACTCTGAATAGGTTTAAAGAATGTTCCAAATCCTAGTTTTGTGACTTATTTCAAATGCAGGAAATCACACTGAATATGCATCTGTGTTCTTCATAAAATATCCCAATACTCAGTATCATTTTGTGGGGGGGGGGGGGGGGGGGGAGGGGGAGGCGAGTGTATCATTTTTTGCATACCTGGTAAAAATCAGACATTTTAGCTAAACTGCACTTGACTTAACGATATCAGACTGCCAGTTATTGTCAGGTTTGCTTTATTATTTCTCCTTTTGTTGCTATGATTCTCAAAGTTTAGAAAAACAACAACCCTCATGCTTTTTTATCACTTTGCCCCAGGTCATCTGATCTTCTGTCTCACAGAGCATATCTTTCTGTCATAACCCAGGAAACTTCTGGCACAGAAACCCTGTCTGAACATCGTGAATTTTTGGCATGTTCATTTTCAGAATTTCAACAGAAACTTTTCTCTGTTCTGAAGCCATCACCATAAAATTCTCTCCATGCAAAGAATCAAATCTATGTTCTCCAGAAAACAGCCAAGGTTTATTTATCTTTGCTCTCCATTCAAAGCTCTTTTCCAGATACCTCTGATTCCACTAGGAATTCTCTCCTCCACTGAACATTCACAGTATGGAAGTACGATATTACAGAAAATATTGATTAACCTTGCTAACTACAAATTTTTGCACGTGTTTTCTAGCAGAATCATACATGGTAGTGAACAAGTAATTAAGGCCTCAGCTTTTCTATTCAAGCTGTTGGTTCTGTAGGACGTTCACAAAACCCGTTGCTGATTTAAGACGTAGTTGGAGTCAAGAAATTTACTCAAGTGGTTTCATATCCTCAGCTAGTCAGTCAAGTTTGTATATCTTAAAAAAATAAGAATAACAACATAATTCAACCAGAAGTTATGGGCCAGTTGCAGGAATAATTCTCTGGTAATATTCTTTGGTCTATTCTGTGGCTGGATTAGGTTTTAAATCCTCTAATTCCATGAAATGCCCAGAGCATAAGAAGTGCAACAGGAGGACTATCACTCCATTTGTATAATTTCCCTATGTGAAATCAGAAAAGCTTGAAAGTTTCTCATTCCAGACCCATCACTGGTTGTTCTAGAAAAGCCTTGACTTGATGTGTTTGATAATAGATACGAAGTTATGGTAAAGGTTAGATGTTAAGAAGCTTGACATCCCTATGTATTCTTTCCAAAGCAAAATGAAATAAAGTCAACTTCAATTAGATTTTTAATAGTACTACTTCCTACAACAGCTTTGTGGTACATACTACTCATATTTCTGTGGCTTCAAGCCATGGAAATCTTACACCAGAAAAATATGAATGGGGAAGAATGAATCAATGTGGAGACCATGAATCCATGCTCCAGATGAGGAGCAAAACGTTAAGACACATCCTCAACCATTAACTGTGAGGTTTAGTAACTACAAATAAAAAAAGCTGAGGAACTTTGGACTAAATCACACCAGAAATTTTCAAATCAAATCAAAAAATAAGCTTCATGAATCTTCTGTAATTTTGATTCATCAAGGGAGTGTTATTTTTATCTAAGACAGCAAACGTCACATTTCTATGTAATTTCCCCTGAAAGTAGTTCGTCAGTTTTTCAAGATACAAATAACGGTTACTATAGCAATCTCTTCATGCAGTATTGCCCCGTCGTTCTGGGTTCAGACTGGAGTTTCACAGGGAATTCAAGTGCTTGGCCAGCTGTAACTCATTGAGAGAGGCAGGCCTACAACAGCTAGAATTTCAGCCTTTTTTTTTTTCAAGCTATCTTTCACTTATAAATGAAGGGAACAGCTGTGTGTTTTCACAGAGCATTTTGAACTTCTAGAAACATGTTTTGCTCTCGCACAAACATGGGCAAGTGAAACTGAAGCTGAATGCAGATCTCACGAGCCGCATTTTCTCTTCTGATCTCTCGGATGCGTTTCTCATTTAAGGGCCTGCTTTGTCAGCTGTGCTATCCTAAACTGCTGAAAATTGAGGAAAAGTTTTCCCCAAAGCAACGTCAGGCAAGGTATTCCCTTTGCCTGCACAAGACAGTGGAATTTCGGGTAGTTTATTAGCCACTCCAGTACCATACTGACTCTAAGAACTGGGAATTTTTCTGTTCTCTTCTGTTCTGTCCTTTCTA